TTGGTGAAATTCAGAAAACCTGGAAAAAAACGTTCAGAAAATCAAAGCTTTTGTGGGAAAGATTGTGAGTGGCGGTTAATGCAGGAGAGTTTCCGACTACCCGTTGTCTTCATTGAAGCCAAAAACTCAGGTTTGGGAGGTTAGCTATCAAGAAAAATCAATTATTCAAAAAACAGTCATAAAAATCAAAAATTTCACTATTCTGAGGGCCATAAATTTATGTGTGAAAAAAATTTGGGCTTGGCCGCTTATGGAGGGGAGCTTTTAAATCCGTTCTATTCATTTAAAATAAAATCTCAAATTTAGTAGTTAGTTGTTGAGAAAAAATATATATCTGTCAAACATGCCCTCCACAGACTTTTTCGAAGGCTAAAGACAGAGGGGTAAAGCAAAAACAGATCAGAGGATTCTGCAGGAAGAAAAGGTTGTAGACGGGTTTTCTAAGGACATCCTTTTTTTGAAAATTGATCAAAGGGTTTCTAAGATTAAATGTCTTGCAAAAAGTGATAAAGTTTTCCAAACGTTTCAAAAAATTGAAGAACTCAATCCCATACGTTTTCATATTACCTGTTTTAATCAAACAGGTATTCAAGACAAACACGCCAAGCTAAAAATTTGAAATTTAAAATAGCAACCGAACAAAACTTAGGAAGCGAAAAAAAGCTGACAATCGTTGAGCAGATACTACTTGAGCCGAAAAAAATAACTAATTTTTTATTGTAAAAAAAACTTTAACGAGTTGCAGGTCCCCCATAAATTTACCCTGTAGTAACTGGTACCCATCTAGTAGTTAACGTTGAGTTATGATTAATTTGAGTGTGTCAGCGGTATAAGAATTCATAAGTGCTGCATAGCTGCAGAGTCATAAGTGATTCTCCTGATTTTGTTAAACTAGTTGTTAACCCGAAAAAGTCTAAATTCCGATTTGATAACGCTTGCTAAGCACAACTTAGATACCATAGGAAAAAAATCACCATTAAAATGAACTTGGGCGCATTTTTGAAACTTGAAGTCAAAAAAATTTAGCTGAAGTCACTGTAAAGCGTTTCTGTTCTAACCTGAAGTCCGACAATTTTTAATCGCTTGTTTTGTAAGAGACATGATGCCACAAAAGATAGGCGACGCAGCTTTTGGCAAACACCAGCAAAAAAACGACAAAAATTAGTGAACAGTTGGGATAAAGATTTTAAAAAGGTGAAAATGAGCATTAAAAATAAAAATTTTGCTGAATAGGAGTGAAACTAGGACGATGAAATTTGGCGTCACACGTCTTCGAAACTATGCCACGTGTCCTTGAAAACATAACACAACAAAGCTGAGCCATGCACCACTTGTGTTAAATTAACTGTAGGATGAAAGCACCATGACGCTCAACAATTAGCAAACAGAACTTTAACGATAATACCATTGAAGGAAGTGAGAAAGTTTTTTAAAAGTATTTTGTTTCATGTTCAAATCAAATAAAAAATTTCAAAGAGGTCCATTTGCGGTTGGTTTTAGCTTTTCAAAATTTAGTGCCAGATTGTTATCGATCTCAAAACAACTATAGACATTTAATTTGAAAATCGGTGAATAGGTCGACAGAATTAAAGGTGACAGTCAAAAAGTTGAAAGTCAGCCAAAATTTTTCGTCAAAAACTCTCATTGTACAAATAAGCAAATAATGCCGGCATATGCTCCACGATAGCTATATGAGTAGGTAATGCAAAATGTTCAAAAAAAAATTTAAAAACTAAACCGACAGATCGTAAGTCGACAGCCATGAAGCCGATAAATCTTTAGCAGAAAATTAAAATCAAAACTCAACATTAGCGTAATATTATTAGCCACCGTTACAGCAGCTACATATACTAATAACTTCTGCAAGTTATAACTTGAGTTATGAAAAACTTGAGGCATTCGAACTGATTTTTTATATATTCATAAATTGGAAAGCATGAAACCAAATTAGGTATAGTTTGTGCATTTCAGAAATGCGAGATACTTTTAGCTGGCAAATTACTTGAGCGAGGTTTTATGACTCTACTTTTGTTAAAAACAAATGGTTTGGTCAGTCCGATTGGTGAATAAACAATGGGTCAACTGTGTTAACTTACTACTTTACGAATGTCAAAGCACACGCATCGAAGCTGTTACTGAAAAGCGGCCAATATTTGCAAAACAACGAAAACTCGTACAATTAGAAAACTAGTATTTTTGCAATTAGAAAAAAACGAAAATTTGTGCCATTACACGAGGCTCGCTTGTGCAAATACGCAACGTATTCAAAGTGAAATTGCAATTCTAAATCTTTGGTAAACTAGTATGAACAGACCAATACAAATAATTCAATCAATCAAATATTAAGAAAAAAAAGTAACTAATCTAAAACAAAAAAAAACTAGCGAGACCACGGCAAACAGCAGCTCTATAAAATGCAAAAAAAAAAGAAATACGCCTCGAATCAGTAGAAATTGGGCTGCGTCTCGGAGTCTATCTGCGATCTAGAAAATATGATTCACGCGCAATAACCACTCAGCAACGGATGCTCAATAAATAGCAAACGCTAGCCACAAATAAAGCAGAAAAGATGACTCGAGATTTCCGATGCTACAGATTATAGCAAAAGTGCTATCAAATAAGTAAACACTTTTATTGACAAATTAGGTTAGAAAAAAAGGTTCGTACTAATACACTAAGCCGGTCGCTAAATTTGCAATAAAAGTTAAAAATTGCAAAACGAATAAACAGTGTTTGCAGACAAACTGCACCGCTGTCAACCCACCAATACTTCAGCAGAAACAGCTGCCTTAAGCCTTACTTTACGCAATCTACCAAATATAGAAGCCAAGCATCAGTCAACATGGTGAAATGAGACTGCATGCAATCAAAATTCATCAAATCTAATAATAATCAGATATAATTTCACTAGCGTCTTGATTAATTTGGCATTTTTTACAAAGACTTTCATCGCAATTTTAATGTTTTTTAATGACAAGCAGCTGAACGCTTGAAAAATTTGGCCTAATTTTTCCAAGTTTAAGTTCATTAAAATCATTGAAGTCAAGTTCAAGACTTACCGATTTTTGACGTATTCACAAGAGTTTGATGTTCCCTGGGGAACATCTGAAGCTACCAGTGAAATGGTAGCTAAAATCTCGATAAATAATTTTTTCATTCAAACTGATTTTAAAGCCGGAGCAACTATTTTTCAACTGGATTGATCAAAATCTGATCGTTCTTTTTTAACTTACTTTTGATGAACATAGGCGCTACGCGCAATACACCGAAGGCATAGAAACTGAAGCAAAAACCAAACAACTTGAACAACTAATAATTGAAGAATAACAGTTCTAGAACAAAAAATCGTACTAACACATGTATACACCAAAATTTTACTATATTGACAAAGGGCCTGAAATAACAGTTCGTGAGCTAAAAATCGTACGAACACATGTATACACCAAAATTTTGCTATATTGGCAAAGATCATGAAATAACAGTTCGAGAGCTAAAAATCGTACTAACACATGTATACGTCAAATTTTTGCTATATTGACAAAGATCATGGAACAAATAATTAAATTAACATGAAAAAATATATATCTCATGAACAAATAACCAAACAAACAGACCCATAATATGAATAAATGAAAAAAAATAAATAAATAAATACACATACATAAATAATAAAAGCAAAATTAAATGAAAGAAAGAATAATTAAATAAATATAGAAATAAATATCAACAAATAAACAAAACACACCTGATAAATAAATAAGCAATAAAAAAATAAATCAATATATAAATAAATAAATAAATACATAAATAAATACATAAATAAATAAATAAATAAATAAATAAAAGCAAAAGTGAAATGTACAAATAATTAAATAGACATGAAAAATATATATGAACAAATAACCAAACAAACAGACCCATAATATAAATAAATGAAAATAAATAAATTAAATAAATACACACGCAGAAATAATAAAAACAAAGCTAAATGAAAGAAAGAATAATTAAATAAATAAACAAACCACGTGATAAAAATAAACAAAAATAAATATGTACATACATAAATTATAAATAAATATAAGCAAACTAAACATAATTAAATAAATAGAAGAACAGATAATTAAATAAATAAAGATGAACAAATAAAGAAACAAACATACGCAATCACGTGACATAGCGCGATATAGTCCAGCCCACATGATAATTGATAACTGTGGACGTTATTTGTCGACACTTGACAACAGAAAACATTTAAAAAAAACCCGTTACACGATACCATAACACCTTGACTAAAGTCTTCGGTGTAAACATACAGCGTAATATTAAGAATTTTACAAGATTGTTCTGGTATTTTGAGCCAATCAATTTTAACTTTGATCATGTATTTTCTGCAGAGTTCAAGCAAATTCAGAGCTGACTTTACTAAAAAACCAAATAGAACAGATTACTCAGTCAATTAAAAATGGGGTACAACTTTGTTTGCGGGTATTTTACTTTTTTCTTTTTGTTTATTCTGATGCAAAATCAGGTACAAAAAATTCTCATGTTTTCCGTGTCGCGAAAAATCGGTTTGCAATTACGAGTGAGCAATGCAAAAGAATAGCATTTGTTATATATAAAATTGGCCATTTAGATTAAAAACACTTATTTTTTTTCAGAGTAAAAGTAGTTTTGAAAGCTTAATTAATCGTTTTTTTGATAATGATTTTTTTAAAAAGTTAACTGCAAAAAAATAGGAAACATTTTAGAATTTTTGTTTTGTTTTGAAGACAAAGTGTAGTCGATAACGCCTGAATCTCTAAATGGCTAAGTTTCTACTCGTTTGTATAGTTCTATCATCACACCACACCAGAAACGACACTAATTGAAAAATAAGCTTTGCTTTTTGTAGTTTTTCACGCATTTTGTCTGAACATTCTGTGCGTCTTGCACAGCAATCGGCTATTATTATTTGAACTGCATTTCACCAACTCATGGCTCTTAACATTTTAAAAGGCAGCTGAACAAAAGTATAAATTCGAAATTTCTAAACAACTTTATACTGATTGGAGTCAGAATTATCAAGGAAAGGACAGTTTATATTTTTCAGAAGTTTGTTTATTTAAAACTGTCGCATACACAATTCAAACTTTACTTCACAAATGGAATGATTTCTATTTATTTCTATTAGTTATTCAAATTAACAAGCAGTTTGAACAAAAACATCTAATCTAAAATTATGAACTCTTATTTAACTTAAGAACAGAATGGCAAATGAATGCAACACTTTATAAAAATTAATGCACAGAGAAATAGAAAATTAACACATGGAATAAGCGGCACTAGCTTAATACAATATTGGAAAATTATGGTTGTTTCCTGAAAATGGTGACACTATTTCAGAGACCAATTTAAATTGTAACGGTCCCAATTTCAAAACGAAGGCGTAAGATTACATCCTATGCGAAGAGTAGTTTACATCATTTTCATAATACACTTCCAAAAAATTTTTCGAATTAAATTGGTATTACAAAACACAAGAAATCATGTCCGGATTTATTGAAAAAAATCCAGGCAAGTCTTCAAAACGACATTAAACCGACCACATTTAAGGAAAAGATTATAATTCTTTTATTTTCAGTGATTTATGTAATCATTTATGCACCTTTTTGTAGCAATTGCAACATTTGGTAAATGCGAAGAAACAAATTAAGCATTTGTAAATTCACTTATATAAACAACTAAATTCTAGCGAAAGCAGTGATATTTTTTATCGAACTCAATTTATCTTCATTTAATAAATCCTCAAATTTTGGTTCCATTTCATGAACAACAACTCATCGTTCATTTTTCACATTTTCGTGAAGAAAACGTGATCGAAAAACTCTGGTGAAAACTTCTTATTTTGATGTTTCACGCTGTAATAAGCTACGAAAAATCAACTACATTTCAGTTTTCAGGTGATTTTCTAAACTGAAGTATTAAGTTCTGTTGGTGGATCCATTGCACCTCTTCCATAGGCTTCCAAAAACGATCCATCTTCATCGAATCCACCAAGCATATCTTCATCGTCGTCATAACTATCAGCGTCTAAATCTATCCGAGATCCACTAGGTCTAGGCGTGTATGAAGGCATGAGTGGGATTCTTGGGTTCGTATCCCACATTGGATGTTTCCCAAATAAGTCTGGGTGGTATTCGTCAAAGCGAGCTGTGTCATCTTTCCTCGGGAATGAAGGAGCGTCTTTAGGCCTGAATTTCATTTCTTGCTCACGCACTGCAAATAAACAAGGTCATTGATAAACATTCAAAATATTTTGCTGAAAAAGATCCTTTTCGCGATAACTTAATTTCGACTGCCTAAAACCAAAAAATGTTATAACATTTTGCAAATTGTGAAAAGCTCATAAAAAATAACGAAAGACAAGATAGTATTTATTTATATATCCACCAGATAGTCCACTCTCAATATTCGACGAAAATTCTGGCGAAACTTATCCGTTCTCAGAAAACCCCCCTTTAATTAAACTGCTTATCGTTATTTGTAGCTCAGCTTGAATCTCTTCAACTATATAGAACTTATTCAACGGTTAAGCAGATTTAATCAAGAATTGGTTACACAAAAAGTTTATACCTACAAACGAATCTCGCCTTTTGCAAAAAAAGGGGGGACCATTAATGAGATGCCTCACCTCTATAGGGGTGACTCCTATTCTTCCTCCAGTAGATGATGCCTAACACTGCCACCACCATCAGCAGAATGAGGGCCAGGAAGGCGAAGAAGAGAGGCACATTGGCTGCACGCACGATCCCCTCCGTCTGCTTAGCAGCTGGAAAGCAAAAAATAATAATTACAAAAAAAGAATAATTAATTGTTATCTTCAAATAATTATAGCTATAAGTTGTAGACAATTATTGCTAAAAAGCATACAAACTTCAATCCAGCTGGAAAAACAATTAAAAATAAATTTATTTTCATTTATAGTAGACAGAATCAAACAAAAATACAGAGAGATCTGTTATTTAAAAATCGACTGCCCAAAAACCGTTCCATCATCGGGTATTTAAAGAAAAATAATTTTTATTTCAAAACTTTTGGATTTGGAAAACAAAATGGTTAATTTTCACATACTCGTTCGAATTACAGTAGCAACAGGCGTGTTAATGTAGAAAAAGGAAGTAGAATTTGACATCTAGCTTCGAGATTTACCAGAATGAAACTTAAAATCACGTAAATTTCTAATGATAACTGTTCAGTGAGAGGCCAAATTGATTTATTTTAAGTTGAAGGAACGATAACTGACGGGATCCATAAACACCCTAAACCCGTTAGTAATCAAAAGATGCTTTGTTAAGATAACGGCTAGTCAAATCAAACTAAACTAATGATATATTGGTCTGTACGATCTTTTCTAACGTCATATATACCGTTTGTTATCTAGGAAATTATCAAGTTAAGAATCTGAAACTTTCATAACATGACGTTTTTAGGACGAAGCGGAAATTAGAAGATAAGTTGTTTTAATTTTGAAAACCACATTAGTCAAAACCACATTCATTGGCTAAGTTTACAATACAAAAGGAGACTTAATTATTTCAGATCTCATATCTAATGACGATGGCTAATTTTTCTTAGAAATTAGACGCTCAGGAAATAAGACGCATTCCAACAACCGGATTAAAAAAATTGACGCGCTGGTATACTTTCATTTCAATTTTTCAGAACTCCTAGTGTCCCTACCTCCCATGTTCCGGCCCCAAGAACAGTATCCTCATTCGAGAAACTTTATCAAGTTAAATTCTAACCCGCGGCTAATTGCCGGCATGTCACGCGTCCAATTTCTTAGGCGCCATTATCTGATTTTCAATACAAAATCAGGTACCAATTTTTCTTTCTTATATAATACCTATCAATAATTTTGAAAATACTTTTGAAATTAGTTGACTATGTTGCTCTTACGGTTTATACCGTAAGAGCAACTTAGTCAACTAAATTCAAAATTATTTTCAAAATCCCTGTGAAATATCATATAATATTTCCATAAACCGTAATATTGAATGAAACAGTACTAAAATGTTGATTGTTCACTTCAGAAGCCTAACATAGGTAACAACAAATTCGTCTAAGACTTCCTGTTCAACCTGAAACTGAGAGGTTGACAAAGTGCCAATCTAAAAACCGAAGTCATTTAGTCAATCAGTTATCAAACATAGTAATATCATCCAAATAAAAACAAAAAGAAAACTTAATTAATTAAAATAGAGAAATGGTCAAGAGTTATCGGACTAGGAACTAATAGATTGCCAGTTAGACTCCTATGGGTTCTTTCAAAACACGATCATTTTTTATTGCAAATTTAAAAGCAGCTCAATCTATCTCTCCGAAAGGCAAGCAATTTTTAGATCACGCAAAGAACGATTTATGAGGCTGAACTCTCTTGACTGAATTAAAACAACGGGAGTGTACTTTTAGTGTCATGCCTTTTCGCGTTTATTTTATTGTTCCGACTTTCGAAGAAAACGGAATATTTATGCTCGTTGAAGGTCTATTTGTTCAGTCAATTTTCGCCAATCGGAATAATAGTTTCCAACAGAAATTTTTTATACCCCATTGAAGATATGGACTTTCTGAGTTCAAATATATATAGGAAAAATACTTTACCTCGATTATTTTTTGTAAAGTTCTGGGGTTTTTTGTTTGAAAATTGCCGAATTGGCCATGTTCTGGACTAAATTATGCGCGCTTTGAAGAATTTATTCATAATGCTGAGAGCTTAACGCGAATTATTTATGCATGATAAATTATCCCGCAGAACAAAATCGTTCCACATTGAACTGAGGCAAGCTAATCGGTCGTATTAATTTCGTAGGACTCAAAATTTTACACTTTGATATTGTCCACTTTTCAATATTTTCTTTTCCCAAAAACTAATGGATATGAATTAGGGGCAGTCGGAACATTCAGGGCTTTTCCCTGATATACGAGCAGTCTTGTTATTTTAATTCTTTTGACTTTTTGTCTTATGACTTAAACACTCACAAGGGGTGAATTTATATAGAAGCACACTTTCAAAAAGTCTATATTAAACAGAGCAGCAAAGTTCGTTCAAACCAGTCTAGCAATACGCTCAAACTTCATAAATTAAATTTTCAGAACACGTTAAAACAAGTTTTACACATTTATTTGAGCTTTTTTTTCAAGTCATGCAACTGACAAACTGTCTGACACATTTTTCGCTTTAAACTTTGATGGCCTAAGAAAAACTAAAATTTTCGAAAAAAAATTATTATTGATTGAAAAATTTATCGATATGAAATTGTACGCAACAAGTTCAAATGAGAGAAAACTAAAGTATTTTTCAACAGCAAAAGATAAAAATAAAAATTGGAAAAATATGAGTAGCTTATATGAAAGCCTGATTCGTTGACAAAAAAAACAGCCAAATTAATCAGGCTAATTTTTTTAAAGCAAGATATAAAATACAAAAATGAGAGATTCTACTGATTAAATGTCTTTTTAAGGTTTAAAGTTTTTACTGATATGGGATCAATTGAGCAATTCCGTAATACCCCCCCCCCCCCTCCCCCTGTAATGACCAATTGAGTTACCTCACCCCAAGCAAAATCGGTAAAACGCTACAAAAAACGTTTTTTTTTTCAAACACAGGCAGATAGTTGATGTGATCGTAGAACACAATCAATTGACCTACCGATCGATTGTTTTTTCGAAAATCAAAATTAAAAAAATTAACGAATTTTGTTTGGGGACCAAGATATAATTGCTTTTCCTCAAGCCTAAGTCGAAACCAAAACTAAGTCAATAGGAATTTTTTTTATTCCTAGGGGAAACCTTAAACTTATTTATTTATGAAACTGAATGTTTTTCACGTTTTATCGCACACTTGCACTTTCTTAATTGGTCAGCTTAACTTTCCTTCCTTTGAGCAAATGATTTGAATTGAACTTAAGAAGAAATCATAAGGCAAAAGCCAGGAAAAAAATCAATTGAAAGAGTCTTCAATTTTCTACAATTCAGAATTCACAAAAAAAAACATGCCAAATGTTCAATTAAACAGCCACGCATAAGTTGATGAGCTGAATTACACTAAAAATATGCAACTTTTTTCTAAATTGATAGAACTTTGGAGTTTCATGAAACAAATACGGCAACTTGGAGCACGTAAAACTTTATGATTGAGACTGTTCTCTGTTTGTAAACTTTCGCTGAGAACTCTAGATCTATTAATTGCAAATTTTGCTTTTGTTGGAGCGCATATTCTGTATTGTATTTGGCAAATGAAAGTAAAATAAAATGATATATTTTGTGTTAAGAACAAAATGTGTTAAGAATTCACGATGTGTTAAGAACAAAATGATATATTTTGCATGAATCAAAGTATTGAATAGATTAAATAGCATGCCTCAATTCAATTTGGAACAATTTTAACCACAGATTAATCTCCGCTTACGCTTTTATAGCACGAAATATATTGCGAGTTAATTGTCCCAAATTGGCCTTATTGCCAATCTTTAAACCCGCATAACTTTGCAAGAAAATATCACAGATAAAATATCTTTTTGAATTTTTGAACAGGACAACAATCAATATCTTTCGGCTGATAAAAAAATCCATTTAAAGTTTCTAGTTAAAACGTCCAAGTTTGTCTGGAGAAAAAAACCAACCGAGCACAAATATTCCGTCCCCTTCTTCGCAAATCGGAACAAAAACTAAACTTTAACACTTTTAAATAGTTTAAATAGTTTACATAGAGGCGAAGCTTCGCTTCGCAAACACTTGCGAGAACACAGCAAAAAGCAGCTCTAAAAAGTGCAATTATAAAAAATTAGAAAGAATCCTCGATTTAGCAAAATTTCGTCAACCTTTGAGATTCGAACCTACGACCTAGAGATTAAGAGTCTCTCACACTACCCACTAAGCCACGGAAGCTTTGTAGGTACCATTAACCACTCAGTCACAAACAGATGCTATGCAACTTCGAATGCTACAGTGAAGATTCCAAACAAGTGAACACTTTTAATTGCGAGTTAACTTCGAAAAAAGAAGGTTCTTAATAACACACTCAGCTGATCGCAAAGTGTAACAAGACTGCTCGTATCAGGGCGAAGCCCTGAATGTTCCGACTGTCTTTTAAGGTTTATGGAGCAGCAGTAATAACATTAAAAAAATTAAATTAAATAAAATAAAACGAAATTTTTTTTTTCTAAAATTTGAAATTTTTTAATGAAAATCGTCACCCCACACGCCATATAAAGTACAAAAAGAGAGATTTCGTTCCTTGTAACAAATCAATTATGGCAAATAAGCTTCGTTCAACCAATTTGGAACGATTTCTAAGACGGATTAACTCTCCGCTTACGCGTTAATAGCGCGAAATATATCGCGCGCTAATTGTCCCAAATTGGCCAAAATGGCAATCTTTAAACCCTCATAACTTTACAAAAAATGATCACAGGTGAAATATCCTTTCAAATTTAAGCTCAGGACAACAAAACTTTTGAATGATATAAAAAAATTCCGTCAAAAATGGCTAGTTAAAAAGTCAAAATTTGTCTGAAGAAAAAAAAACCCACCCCGAGCACAAATATTCCGTTACTTTCGTATCGAAAGTCGGAACAATTAGCTCCTTTTCCCTCCCCTCCCCTCCCCCACCTCACATAAGCATTAATTTTATTGTGTAACGAGGGGTTTTATAAGGTTAAACTCGAAGACCAAATATATTTCGAATTAGTTCGCATGCCAATTATTGTAACATTCGGATAACGTGAACAAAAACTCACTAGTAAAAATTTGAAGGTGGGGGAAAGGAAACAGAGCCGTGTAATTAACATAATACCAAAAAGAAAACATCTGACGTCGCCGTTTTCTCGACCTTTTAACTGAATATACTCTCTTATATTGAACTCTTGTGACCAAATCACGTATGTAAAACTGTGAACAAACTTTGATCAATCTGTGTCAAGTTTTTAAAATCTAATCTATATTGTGTAGCCTCTGAAAATTACATAGAGCATTTGAGGCTTGCTGCATCCAAAGAAATTATTATGCAAATTGTTTTTGATAATCGCTCGTCATTTCTCTACACATTCAAGTCATATGATTAAAATGAGCACGCTATGTGTGTTAAAATTGTAAGCTTAATTACCTACTTTTTTATTTGCAGATTGCTACCATCATAAAATACAAGCAAAACATGTTCAAAGCTTTGGCAAGCTCATTTGATATACTATGTCCATTTGATGAACAAATGCAAAACTGTATCAAACTGAACACATTTTTGCTTACCCATTTCTGCAGTTGCATTTTTAAATTTTATGCAAGAAGTCAGGCGACCAGTGTAATGCATTTAACCAATTATAGACTTTTAATTGAAAGAATGTTCATGGTTCACGCAAGTTTGCTCTGTCAAGAGGGTGTAGAAATTTCATACATGTTTTCACATTTCATGCACTTTCACGCAACGTGCTTTTTATGCATCACATTTAATTTTTTATGAAACCCAAACAGCCCAATCCAATTTTCACGTCATTTAAAAACCTTTTGAGATTCTGTTGAAATTTTATAACAAGATTAAGTCAAATTCTTTAAGCTAGAACCTAAAAAGAAACCAATTGGTTTAAAATAAAAGTCGGGCCTTTCATATTATATAGCCCAAATTTGATCTTCATGGTATTCCAAAACTTACATTTCAGTATTTGAATACTGGACCTGATTGGTTAAACTAAATCAAAGATGACATAAATGACCTTTTTAATTGGGTTTTTGGACTATATAACAGGAAAAAAATCCGGGTCTCTTCTGTAATACCGCCCAAAATTACCAAATTGTTAACTAAACTTCTCTTTTTAAGGAAAATCTAGAATCCTTTTCCCTAGAATTAATATCAGCCAATCAGATTCGAGCGAGAATTATGATAAGATTTTCCAAATATTAAAACGAGCTGTTTTGGGCCGTATTACAGAAAATACCCAAAAGCCGAGCTGTTTCGCAATAGAATCCGATCGAAAGAGCACAAGACAGATGAGGCAGACGATAGGTTATGGCTAAGATTGGGGTTATTTTGAGGGTTGTAAGTTGAACACAAACCGATCACGGTATACGCTAAAACATCAACCAACACATTAGATTAATGTACCTCGCAACATTCTGACATTCAATTAACATGCATTGAATTTTGATTTTTGAAGTTACAGTAGCCCTAAAGTTACTCAGTTAGCACTTTACATCATTTACACAGAATCACACCAATGAAAAAAGCTCGATTTTGATTTTTTTGTAAGTACTCGAGAGAAAACTTGAAAATAGGACTAATTGAGAAATTGCATTAACTCGTGATTGTTTTAATTAACTTTATCAAAGATATAATTATCCAATTATCAATTACTGAAATAAATGGACACCTGAATTTTCCACACATATTTTGCTCGTAACCTAAATCAAATACGTGAGCTGCAACAAACTTATGGTGACTACCTCACAATCACAAATACAAATGACGAAGCTCAAAATTATAGAACAAAAGCCTCGCAATAAAACTAGCTGAAAACACTTAAGCTTAGCGTCGTTCATACTTTGCACTTATCCAGGTCATCTAAACACTAAAACACGGAGATTGGCAGATTAAAAATGATTTTAAAGTTACTAATCGTTGGTGAATCATTCAAGATGCAACAAAATTCACTACTGACCATAAAAATAAATCAAAAACTATTTAACTATGACCCTGGTCATTCAGATAATGCCAATAATCACCCGTTTTTTTTTCAAATTACAATATGACGTGATACATGCAACAAAAAGCGATAATGCAACAGGTTGGCAAATATACACATTCAAATTGGGGCTACTTTAGAGCTATCTGATTGCCTTGTTACACTTTGTGGGCTAGTCAGACCTATGTGACTACTCTATTTCAAAAAAAGTTCGCAAAATTTGAAATTTATGATATGTTTTGAACTATAATCCTACTATCGAGATATACCATAAACTATTCCTCTTTAAAACTGAAACTTACGTGCTACTGTAGTGCAATGTACAGCTTCTGACACACTCTCTCCGTTCTCATTCCTAGCCACCAGGTGGATATCATAAGAGGCTGCCTGCACTCTAACTGGGATTACACACTCCTGGTCGAAGTCGCCAATTGAGATGTACTTGCACATCAGTTCGAACTTGGCGTTGTTTGTGTTGTGGTTATTGCTATTGCTGTCGCTAGCACCTGGAAACAATTAGGACAGGTTTAACCATTGTCATTCACAGCAATTTTGGAGGAATTTGTAGGCTTTTGACCAACACCAACAGATGGTTGGAAAAGTCTAAAATATTAGGAAAACTGAAAAAAGAACTTTTTGAACATTTTTAACTTCCAAACATCCAAGGAAAACATATCGCGTTAAAGCTATTTGAATTTCAAGAACTGATTATGATTGGCAGTTTTTTCTTTAACTTTTTCCCATTTGAAAAAAATGATGCACATTTTGAAACTAGAATTCATTCACATTCCTCTTGACCTTTACACTTTTGCAGTTCGATATTGAAGTTTGCTTCAGTTTTAACCAAAGGAGATGAGCTTAATTTGAAAATCCAACAGACAGTTCGATAAAAGTCAGGAAGCAGAAACAAAATCTGACTGTTTCTTTGAAAAAAAAAACATCAACTTTTGAATTTCAAACCGAAAAATATGGCCTCAAGGCTCTTTGATAATCAAGAACAATTTATGATGGAAACTTTTTGATAAAATTAACTCACTTTTAAAAAATTTGATCGGTAATTAAATTTTTTTCCGCTGGAAAATCTGCAATTAGTATCCACTTTCGCAACGAAGTCGATTCCGTTTTTCGTGGCCTTTACTTTTTTGCTGTTCGTTAAAGTTTGCCTTCCTTTTAACAAAAAATGAACCGAACTGAAAGGAAATCAAAAATTAAACCGCAAAAAAATCAAACTTGAGCGTGAACAAATTTTTACTTTTTTGAAAACAAATAACCAAAATATATATCAAAAACACGAGTATCCACTATGTTCATGCTATTAAAACATAATAATAGTAAAATCCCGAAAAATCAAATTTGAGCGTGAGCAACTTGAATAAAAAATTACAAAAACTAAACTACCTATATAAGCTTCGTTAATTGACACTTGATAAACATAATCAATGAACGCAAGAAAACAAAAAATGACTTGCATTTTGAAAAAAATCATTTTATGAAATTCAAACCAAAAAATATGGCCTTAAGGCTCTTTGAAAATCAAGAACAATTTATGATGGACACTTTTTGATAAAATTAACTCACTTTGAAAAAAAAAATAGATCAGTAAGTAAATTTTTTATCCGCTGGAAAATCTGCAATTATTATCCACTTTCGAAACGAAGTCGATCCCGTTTTTCGTGGCCTTTTACTTTTTTTTGCTGCTCGATAGAGTTAGCCTTCTTTTTAATTAAAAAAATGAACTGAACTGAAAAGATATCAAAAAAAAAACCGCAAAAAAATCACATTTGAGCGTGAACAAATTTTCACTTTTTTGAAAAAAAATCACCAAAAACTATATAAAAAACAAGAGTATTCACTATATTCATGACATCAAAAATAAATCAAAAGTGAAACCCCGAAAAATCAAATTTGAGCGTGAGCAACTTAAATAACAAATTAATAAACTACCTATATAATCGTCTGCACTTCGTTTATTGACACTTGACAAACATAGCCAACAAACAGTTGGAAAAAATCAATGAACGCAAGGAAACAAAAAAATGACTTGCTTTTGAAAAAAAATCAACTTTCGAATATCAAGGTTGAAAATATAAGGCCTTAAAGCTCTTCTAAACTCAAGAAAAATTATGATTGAAACCTTTTTATTTAAAAAAAATAACTCAATTGGAGATAATTGGATTAATAGATAAAATTTTTATTCCGCTGGGAAATCTTGAGACTAATACAGACTTTGGAAATTAGAAGCTGATCACGACTCTTTTAGTGATAATTACACTTTTGATTTTCGATAGTAAACTTGGACTTCTTTTTAACCAAAGAAATGAATTGAACTTAAAAAATAACCAAAAACCAAACCGCGAAAAAGTAATTCTGAGCCTGAACAAACTTTAAGACTTTTACTGAAAAAAAAACGAAAGAAAAAAATGACCACGACCTATATAGGAGTCTGAACTACATTCATCGACTTTTAGAAAGTTGCACCGTACTAACACACTCCGCTAGGCTCGTGTAAATATTTCGGACGAAATAAATCTATAATAACCTAAGAGTCATTGATAATCGCGTCTTTGGGCCATATAACAGGAAACAAAACCAAAAAACAGCCTTTCCAACTGTTTGTTGGCTATTTTTCCTGTTATATAGCCCAAAAACGCTATTACAAAAAACTACGTTCATCCGGTCTTAAAAGATCCGGGATTAATTGCCAATTCGTATATGCTGATTCTCATTCTATTACTGTAACCGTGATACGGTTCAACTATTTGTTACCTGCATATCTGTACTTGATGTAGTGCGTGGATGCATACTGTCCGAAGTGTTTGAAGTTCCACGAGACTGTCAAGTTGAAAGCCGGCGACTGACAGTCCACTTCAGGCGGACGGGGTGTGTCTGGGGCTGAAAAAGAACCCGATATTTTTACTTAACATTCTGAGACAAAATAGAAAGGGTTTATCCAAAAATCAATTAACTTACCGTGATTTCGACTCTTCATTTAAAACATTTTGGAAAGATCAAGCGTTTTTCTCTCAATGAGATATTTATTAATTGACAAGCCTGATCTTTCCAAAGCGAGTTACTTATTGCACCAAATAAAATTATACGTTCATCAAACAGTTTCGAACTGCACTTATTTTGCTTGTATGCAATTTATGCGTTCGTTCTGGGTCTCGGAAACTCGCCCTCGAAATACTGTCCGCATTTGTCCGTAAAAACTTCAAGAAACACTCACGTAATTTCTCTGCATTCTGCAACGTGAACATCTTTGAGGTCTCATCACCAATGAAAAGCGTGTTCTTAGTCGCGACCACAAATTCAAATGTGTGACCTATCAACTTCAACATGTGCTCCCTATCCGACATAAAATATCCGGTTAAATCCAGTTGTGGTTCGAATGTGTTTTGGAAGTAGTTTGATTCGCTAATGGATTTGGGTTCCAGTCTTGTTTCGTATCTTTCGAACTCGCCGTTGACGCGGTTCGGGGGAAGCCAGAATGCGTGAACACCTGTGAAAGAACAGGAAGTCCAAGTTATTAGCTATAAACGTCTCATCTATGGTTTTGCCCCATAGCGTACATATCGGAGTCGGAACTAGACTCTTTCACTTTTTCAATTTTTATTAATCAACAATTATCAAAATTTCAGAGTTTCGCTGAAAATCTTGTACGGGACAAGACAATAAGAAAAAATTGAACTTTTTAGTTTTTGCTAAAAGAAACTACCTATATAAATATCTTCACTTCTTTGATTGACACTTAATAACAATTAGAAGAGCATCAACGTTGAATTTTATAGCATGTCGAATTAAAACTGATCATCTTAAAGACCAAATCGTCCCTACCAAATTTTCCAAAATTCCAGAAAATATTAGTTCGCAATAGAACCATTCCTCTACTCACCTTTGGGTGACTGGTGAATCATTAGATCCACAGTTGAAATGGTGTCTGGCTTTGCTGCATAGGTTTTCTGTGTCCAAGGCGGACTCCCTTTTGAGAACTCACGATTCAGCACCGACAACACCACTTCGTAATCAGTGTACGGCAACAAACCTGCAACAAAGCCATATTTACAAAACTTCACACCTTTATTGTCAACCCTAGTTCCCGATAGCTAGAAATTTGCTCTGGCTGGCGTAAACAATTCATCCATGAATCTCTAAATGGTTCAATTGGTTAATCCAAAAATTATCAAACATTTAGTAGCAGTATAATTTAGTTAGTTCTCAATTATAAAACAGTATCTTTTCTCTTCGCTCCATTTTCTATCGAAGCCATTGTCTTTTTTGCAGCAGAAATGCTAACATCTAAGTTATATTTTTGCCGTAGCCGATCCATACCACATTGAGGAGGCGGATGACTCTGGAATCCCACCAACCGTGATCAAAGTGTGATTCGAACACGCGTGTTCAAGACATGTGCCTTACCTACTCGGCCACGACCACTCTATTCCGAGGTGCTGAAAAAGTAAACTTTTGAAACAAACCTGTGACAGTAAGTGTTTTAACTTCTCCACTGAATCCCATATCTCGATCCAACTTATCACTGATATGGTTCTTCGTCTCACTATCGAATATCTCAAGTTTATATCCAAGAAAGGGTCCATTTATGTCTTCTTGTGCCATGGCCTTGAACTTCACTGATATCTGGCGCGGTTCTTTAGAGTCTTCGTCTTCGATTATTTCTGGGTAGAAGTTGGGTTCTAAAAGTACATACAATTCAAATTCGCTGGTCAGTTCCTAGTTCAACTTCATCAATTTCTTAACCTCAATTTCTCAACCTAACTCATTCAACTTCTTAACCTAAAGAATTAGATTTAAAAAATCATAATAATAATAATAATCTTTATACTCAAAAAATTAATTTACTAAGATTATAATATTTATAATCTTTACTTTCTAGGGTAGACTTTCAGTGGGTATTTATTTTGCCCTTCGTCTATCCTCTCCTTGGTCATTTTGGTTCATTATAATGTTAGCGATGTTGTGTAAAAACTTGATTTGGGAGAAATAAATTCTTTCTTTCTTTCTTTCAATTTCATTACTATAAAGCGTTAGCTATGATTTAAAAAACATGATCAAGACTATGTACAGTTCGACCGACAATTAATACTCTTAAGCCAAAAATGCGATATATCTATCGGAAACAACCAATATTCTTATCTAATATTGCAGAAACTCATATAAAAGTCAAGCATATCATAAACTGGATCTTTAAAATTTTCAGCAAAACTAACTTTCAGCTAATATTTTAAATTTGAAGCAACTTTAGGCAAATCTTTAAAATTTTTAAAGATTCAAGTACAATTTTATAATACCTATCCTACGCCTTTCTCAAGATAGAACTGTTTGAAGAGCGAAGTCTAGCATTAATCTCTTAGAGACATGTCCGTTTTCAGACCTCTATGAATACGAATTTTATTAGACTTTTTTTGAAAAATTTATCTGATTTCAGTCTCTGATTTTTTGACGCTCAATCATTTATTGTTTTGGAAAAACCATCTTTAATTAGAACTGAGTTTTATCATGATCATTCGTGTTTCAGCGTTTGTTTTAATATACCTGCAGCTGCATTGTATCCCGTAGTTCTAGCTCGTTTCTGCACCTCCCCTTGTTGATTGGCGAACCATGCTTCTGCTCTGTGCTGTGTATAAGGCGGCATGCCACTCCATCCAGTGGTCACTCCTCTGGACCTAAGACACATTTAATTAAAGTCACGAACAACATTCAAACTCTGTTCGAGGAGCGGATATTTATTGGCTAAGGTCCCCACCTCTGTCGTCAGTGCGGAACCTAATGACACTTTAACCTCATCACTAATTTCTGCACCTGAGATATCTCCCAAGAGACGGAAATATCAATTTAGAGTTACAGACCAGAGGAGCAAGTAAACAACGAGAAAGACGATAATATTAGCATTAACGAAATTGATCCATAAAATCTTTTTTTTTTGCAATGAAAGATTGTTTTTATAGCCACATTATGAAGTTTTAATCTGTGACCGCTCACACTAAATTACTCCCCAAACTCGCTCGATGCACCCATGAACTGTCCTCGTTGCCGTAGAGTAAACCAACTCTGACGAGCCTACAAAAATCGTTTTGATTCTAACCAGAACCAAAACAGAGGTTCTCAGTTAAGAGGAGCAAAATCTACTCGTATCTTTGTCCTTACCTCTCGGATAAATGTACTTAAAAAAGCCAAATATAAACTTTTTGGAAGTTTTCCTTTAAATTATTTAATACAAGGCGAAAATTTTCAAAACAGGCAAACTTTGCGCGTAAAGCCCATTGTAACGGCTTTAATCAAATGTAGGCGTACGGTCACACAGCAGAAAAAAATACCAAAAGATTTCATTACCCTTGGCTAATCGTATCGTAAGGGTAATCATAATTTTCGTGATTTTAACTGAACTTGGCCATCTACTCACCTGGGGTCTACACAGTTCAAGTTGATCTTCTGTCCATTGTTGTTTCCAATGACTAGTTTGATACAGCACCCCACTGAGCTGTAGCTGTTGTACTGGTCTCGAGGAAACGGCTGAAATACACAATGACCAAATGAAACGAATATTAAAATAATCTTCAACACAGAGGGGAAGCAGAGCTTCGTACCACTTGCAACACAAAAATGAATGACTCTGATTCTTTGCAGATGAACCAACAAATCGAACAAAAAAAACATATATAAGTACCCCTTAAAACGCTTACACAAAAATTGTTTGCTCCTCAAAACTCTCAAAAAAGGCCTCTAATATGATATATTATAAGCTGAAACCTTTTCAGCAGAATAATGAGAAAAAAGAACAAAAAGGAGAACAAAAACTGATATTTTTTTAAGATCATTTATCCACGAGGGATAGGACCAACATACGAGCTGTACAGCTCATCACGGCGAACCGCTGTTGCGCCCCTGCTTAAGAACTACATGCAATTTTTTTTTGAAATCGGAATATACTGAAATCGGAATTGGTAAATTTGCCAACAACAAAAAATCGAATCGAACGGGCATTTACAAGGCAGGAATGCTCAAGAACTATTTATTTTCAATTTTTTAAACGAGTTATTTTCGGGAAAAAATCTAGTTCCTTATTGCAATAACCTTGCTTATCGCAAAGGTAAAGACCAAATGGTTTGAAACGGTTGGTTGCGACAATTTAAACATGAACCGCTTTGCTTAACCAATTTTAAGTATAAAACCGACCAAATTTAACCCATTTCAAATTTCCGCGGCCGAAATAAATCTCCCCTCAGAGACAAATTATCATTATCGAGTTACGCTCAAGAGTAGCGCGCAAAAAAGAGAAAGACGATATTATTTCCAACACGAACCTTGATCCATGTAGCCTCATTTCAGAATGAAATGTTTTCATTTTCAATTACATCATTAAATTTCCACAGTTGACATCTTAACCTTAATTGATCTCTTATCTACACATCAATATTCATAAGTCGAGAAAAAGCAGTGTGAAACACACAGGCAAAGTTGAGCATAGCATTACACCGGCATGACGCTCAAGAACTAGGAAAGAGAACTTCGAAAGATGTAACCGTTGAAGGAAGCACTAGATAAACGAAACATAGAAAAACACGTTAAATTTTGCTGAAGTTTTTTAAATAGGTCCTAATGGGATTGATTTTGAGCATTCGAAAATAGTAGACTTGAGTCAAATCGATCCCATATAACATTGAAAATTTGTAGAAAACAATATAGCCGACAATCAAAAAGCTGAAAATAAACCTAAATGTAGCCGCACAACCTTAAGAAAAATTGCACGTACTGCCCACATAGAATCCACGAGTGCTATATGTAGTGAATGCATGGTGGTACGCAACTCGAAAATTAAACCGTCAGAGATTCAGTGGATAATCATAAATCTGAAAACTCCTTGGCAAAAAAATAAACATAGGGAACAGGCAGTTGAAATTGTAGAAGAACATGGAAACCAAAAAAAGTAATTGAAGCTCTTCGAATTTCAAACAATATGTATGTTTGGTTCATGCTCTTTTTAAACTATACCATTTTGGAAAAACTGGCTCAATAGGTTAATCTTTTACTCCGCTGGAAATTCAGAACATAGCCAACAGACATTTGGAGTACGTGAACGCAAAGAAACTTCCACTTTCGAGTTTCAAACAAAAAAAAATATGGGACATTAAAGCTCTTTGAATTTCAGGAACAATTTATAATGGGCACTTGTTTTTTAATACACCAACCTAATTTGCGAAAACTGGATTACTAGGAAAGTTTTTCTTCCGCTGGGAAATTTGATAAAATTCCACTTTCGAAACTGAACTCGAACACGTTTTTTTTACTCCATTTCAGCTTTCATAACTTGAGAGCGTATTTCACCTACCTTCTAGCAAATGAACTTGAATTAAACCCAAAAAGTGTACATATATCTAAGGACACTAACATGAGCATTTATAAGTATCAGTGCACTTCTTTTGTTATGCAAGTTTTACAAAAAAAACAAGTGACTTACCGCCCATGAGACGAATATCTTGCTCTTGTCCTCCTTGTCAGGTTGGATGATAAGACTCTCGATCATCTTTGTTGGCACTACAAGCACAATCAGTTTTTCTAATTATTAATTTGTGAAATGTTCGATCTTCGACACCTTTATGTAGACAAAATAAAAATTGTCAAAAAATGCTGCGCATATGCCTACATATTATAAACTTAGCCAACAGAGTTGAAAATAGTCAATGAAAAAAAACGGCTGTTTTCGAAATTCAAAAAATATACATTTGTGCTTAAGGCTTTTTGAATTTGAACAAAGCCAACAGAAAATTGAAAAAGAGTCAAGGAACGTAAGTAAACAAAAAAAAACTGACTTTTTTGTTCGAATTTTCGAATTTAAAAGCAAAAAATATTAGATCGAAAAACTATATGGTTATGTTGAACTTTGTTTCATGGAATGAACCAACTTTCTCAGCTCTTGAAGCCCTGCTATCTAACCAATGATGCTTTATGCCGAATCACCGAATGTTGCTTTATGCACCGAATCACCTTTCATGTCTCATGGACCAAACAATCTATCTGAGCTCTCTCAACCGCTGAAACAGCCTACCTGCGTCGGCCGTGCGATGATAAGTCCACTGTGAGTATTCACTGGGTCCATAGTTGTTCACTGTCTTCACTTTGAATGCGTAATTCACTCCAGGTCTGAACTCTTTATCAGGTGTTGTCAATTTCTTCAACTCTACTTTCATAAACGGTCCCGAACTTCCCTATGAACAAGAGCAAAATTAGTTTACAAACTAAAGGCAAGAAACCATTCAAAATAAAACACAAAATTTTTTACGAATCCCCATATCTTGATTTTTCAAGACGCAACATAAGTGTTTCATAGCAAGTTTTCAACAATTTAAGCTGTTATTGATATTTTTTGTTCAAAGAAAGGTTTCCAACTCTCAACATCCTAGTAAATTAGTACCCTGGTTACGAGTTTGTGCCTTTGTATGTGCGGTAGATAGTACCATGTTTCAAGGTGCAAATATGTCGCCATATTCATGAAATTTAAACTTTTCCTCGAAGTTTTCGAAATTCATACCACAAAAATTTCAATCATTGGTATCGAACTTGAAAGATTATCGCACTATTTCCACCAAAACTTTTCTTTGAAGTAAGTGACATTTATTGACATTTTTTTTCCAACAAATATTAACCATATCAAAATTTGCAACCATTGGTATAAATACTAATTTTCAAATTATCTGGAATAATTCTGGAATGTGTGTTAAATCTAATCTCTGCAGTCTCTAATAATCCAGATGTTTTAGTACTTCACATGACCATTTCATCGCTACTTCCATCTTGAATCTTAGCAGCTCATATTAATTAATTGATTAAGTCTAAATCTAAGGTGATGTGCGCATTTCATGTCAAATCGGATGTCATTTCTATCAATGGGCTCAAAAACTAAAGCATTTCAGAAACAAATGAATCATTTCAAGCTTATAACTAAAAATTTTACATTAATTTGAACCAATCATCGACAAACAATCTGATTCAATTTTGTTTCGATTTATCTACTTGTTTATTCAATTTCGTATCTATCGGGTTCAATTGATTTCTTATTTATTTCGGAGCGAGACAAGATGGTATTTTCTTATAATTTAGTATAACTACTCCGTATTTTTACCAGCTCTGAATATAGCATAATACCAAAACATCACATTTGAGCCCTTTGATAGAATACATTTTACATAGGAATCATTTACATAGAACAAAATCAGGAATAAGTCAAGAAATTTACGCTCGAACACATATTTTCGCCCTTATAGAAACTCGAGTTAAACGAAATATGAATTCACAGATCCCATGATAGGTGATTTAAAATAACTCCATTTGAAAACCAGAGTTAGATAATCATGAGTGTTTTTTTTCTAGATCCCATTTAAAACCCAAGTCTTTTTCTTTTAAAGCTATCTCTGTAAAAAAAAACGTGATCAAAAGCCCCAAACTCATGAGCTGATATAGAAAATAGTGAATCTTATTTATAGCTTCGGGAGCAATTTTACTAAATTTTGGAGAGCGCGCGCCATAACACGGGATATTTTGCTCCAAAAACTGCCTAAAAACGCCTTTTTGGGGTTATTTTTTACAAAAATTTGCCAGCCGCGCAGCGCTGAACATTTAGGAGTGCTCGGAAAATCATATTGATCAACCTATAAAAAGGTCGACAAAGTTTTCAAAAGTGTTTTGAAAATTCGCAGCCCCCCCCCCCCCCTTCGAGAAAATCTTAGATACGCTGCTACTAGTTGATAAATTAGACTTTTAAGAGCAAATGTGATCGTCTTCCGTAGGAGAGGTTAAGATAACAAAAATGACCAAGTTTTAGTTTCGGTTAAATTAACAATAAACGGTTTCAGCATCAATTCGTTGTTTTCACTGAGTACAACATTTACAACAGTTCAGTTTTTTCTCCGGAATTTTTTCCCAGTCCTTGACGGAGAACACAACATGGTTTAAAGCAATAAGGCAATAACTACAACCAATCAATTCATGTTTAAGCAGCAATAATAGAACCGAAAGTTTGGCGGCTGGATGGTAAAAGGCACATCGAGGCTGTTCTTGAATACTTACTACGAATTGGCGAAAATTAGAATTGCTCTAAAATAATCAGCTGCTCGTTTACATTATTCAATTAAAACAATTCCAACAACTAGGAAATAGGCCCGACTTCTTTCTACGGATTTTCATATTACAAAAAAAAACTTTAAAATGAGTCTAAGAAAGAAATAAATTTTAATTTTAGCTTATTGAGATGATTGGCTGCCTAAATGATTATTCCTAACATGTAAAAAGCTAAATAATTCTGAATAAATACAAATGAAAGAACTTTGATACTTTCTACGATAACTTATTCAAAGTATTCACCTAAATTATTTTCCCTTGTTATCTCACCTTTTATAGTTAACATGTACATGGGGGCCAATGGAAAAAATATGCCCTCTATAAAATGTAGTTGAAACTTGAACGAGAACTATCTTTCTATCAACGGATCTCTTACTTCTACCCTCCCCGTATGGAACCTAGTTGGCAATATTCACCCCCTATAAAGCTCTAATTCAACAATCGGTTATTCTATATAACAAATGTAGTTCCTGCAGATTACAGGAGTTATCAGTAGGCCTCAACAGACCTATCGAAGGATAGTATATTTGTGTTATGTGAACATGGTAACCAGTAACTAATTAACCCATCTAGCAATAGGTGAGGAGGGTTAAAGAGATCCCTATCAATTTTCAAAATCCTAGGCCATATATTGTGAGCTTTAGTATATCGCGAAACAAAATCATACAAGCTATGATGTCACAATACCCAAAGGGTAAATTTGTAGCAGTGATTCCGATCGTATTAAACGAGCATTTCAAAAACAGGCTGAGAGAAAACCAAAACAAGTTTTTTCGGCATCCTTGATTTCCAGTTCTCTAACATTACATGACTGTATTCAAAAACTAACTTTTGGATCCGATAAACTTTTCTTTTTAATACCAAATCTGACTTCCTTAAAAAGATAAACCGAATGGTTAAGCACATCCTGATTTTACATAATAAGAATTTAACATTTTACCTTTTTTGCAATGTGGTTGGAGAATAACTAAGTTCCGATTTCTTCTTTCGTTCAAAAAAGTCACAACAGGTAACGCAACGATCTTGTTGATAACATTTTTCGAGCAGCAATACAACCCCCCCCCCCCTCATATTTTCGAAACCTTTCGAAACCCTCCAAGGCAAATAAATTCTCATTCAGGAAATGAATGTCTAATTTTCAGGTTACAAACAAGCTGAAGTTTCCATTCATCTCAATCTGCAAATGAACCCACCCTTCTTTTTAAAATCGAGCAACTCCAATGATACGATAATATGTTCTACCATATCTTTAAAGATCATGCACGAATGAAATACTCAGTATAATGTATGCCCAAATTATATGCGAAAATTAACAACAAATGGTAGCTATCGTTGACAAAGTTAAGAAGTTACCGTCAGGCCTCGTGAATAGGAATCGGCAGACTAAAAAATCAGTTGAGTCATCTTGACTAATTAGAGTAGTTACCAGTGTTGGCAAAGTAAAGTTTTTTTTCCAAAAAAAAAAACGTTTTAAACCTTTTAAACAAATTTAAAACACCTCATCTTCTCAAAGCAATGTTATAGAACTCAATAACAGATAAAAACGGTAAAAACTGGAGTACGAAAAAATTAATTCATGAAATATGATTAAATTCTTTCGTTAAGCACTCGTAGGCAGAAGGCTAGCTTCCCCGCTTTCTCCGGCGCTAGTATATTGCGCAAGTCTGAATGCACAAAACCCATCGAACTGTGCAACGAAGGTTCAATGCTGATCACAGCTTTTAGAAGATGCCTGCAAAAGCTGTTCACTAACCAGTGATTTATATTTGGGACTAGTAATAAAAACATTGAAAAAAAAACTTGTATAAAAACATGTGTTTAAACACAGAGGCGAATCTGCGCTTCGCAAACACTTGCATGAACACGACTAAAAAACAGCAAATCAAGTGAAACAATAAAAACTAGAAATAAGCCTAGAATTAGCAAAAACTCAGCTACGTGCCGGATTCGAATCTGCGACCTAGCAAACTTGAGTCTCACGTACTAACTACTCAGCCACGGATGCTTAAAATCCCCTAAAACTCGCCACCAATAACGCAGTTACAAATGCTAATAAATGACCAATTCGATGCAGCAAAATTAGCACCAACTACAAAAAGGAGCAATTTTGCATGTAACGAATTGGAAAGCATAAAACCAAATTACAGATAAATTATGCATTTAAAAAATTGTGAGATACATTGAGTTGGAAAATTTTTGAAATCGAGCTTTTCATCAGTGTAGTGTGTTTGAAACAAATAACTTTTTTCGATTCATTTGATAAATTAAAAAAAAAACATCAGCTGTGTAAACTTATGAATAATCAAATGTCGAAGCACATATGATATTATACTGCTACCGCAGCCAAACGATTCAAAAATGCCACTAAAAGTAGCACCTTTATTTGCGACTTAGATTGGAAAAAAAAGAAAGTTCGTACTTACACTTTGCTACGCAAGGTGCCAACAACATGCCAACACTGCTAGTTATCAGAAACATAGTCCATATTCCATATCATAAAAAAAGAAAAACAAACAATTTTAGCTTTTTTTAAACTATAAATTCAAAACTGAGAATAAATAACATATCCAGCAGACTTCAAGAGTCAATAATTTGCAAGTAAACGGAAAAAAATAAGCTTAATTTTTGAAAAATCTCACTTGCGAATTTCAAAAAAAATAGATGGCCTTTGAAAGCTATACCAAAAGCTAATATTGAAAGCTATACCAAAAGCTAAAATTAATAAGCATCGAAAAACAAAAACCAAACACGAGATTAAAATCATCGACAAATTTGAATAGTATAATCCAGGCAGACATGAATGCACGATTGGAAAGTTCAACGTTTATTCTAACCCAAGCGTATAAAAATTTTTTAGAGCTTTGACAACAACGCTTCAAGAATCGCACTTCGCAACTGAATGCAACTACAAATGAGTGAATTCAAGATCTACACACAATTAAACTTCGCAAAAATACATGACACAGAGTACCTCGAAATATGCATATCCGTCTTCTATCTGCCTATATCACGGGCAAAATAAACAATCAGACCACTTATAGGGCCAAAATTCAAAGATCATCACATAACATAAGTCCCATCAAGTGACTTCTCATCAGAACGCTTTTCTAGAGACAGTATAAGAAAGATACTTTCGTTGAGTCTGCGTTCCGTTGTAATGATAACTTAAGCACCTATAAACTTAACACGTCATAAATCTTACAATTCCGATTATTCTACAAGCGAGGACTACAAATCTTGCCGCATTTACAGTTGAAAACAGAATGCAAAGGAAAAGCTACCAACAAAAAAAACTTTTGGTTATAATACAATTAATATAGCTAAAAGAAAGTAGCAAGTGTCAATGAACTCGAGGAAACCTAAGAGCTCGAGGAATACGAGATTTTTTGAACAACTTCATCTTTCGAAATCGAACATGATTTTCAATTATCACAAAGCTCGTACAATTTCAAGAAACCTCTAGAATTGGCATTTTTTTTTATAAAACTACTCCAGTAAAAAAAACCGGGTATCGTTAAGAACAAACCTCTTTTAAAACATTCTCATCTTTTCGCGCCATAAGGGAGCATAACTTATCTTTCTTTTAGCAAATTAATTGAATTTAGAATTGAATTCAACTTCAAAAAATTCAAACGGCGAAACGCAGCAAAAATCAAAATTGGTCGTGATTACCTTGTATACAACAAGTTAGATTTTGTCCTTAAAAAAGAAGAAAAACCAACAAAAACTACCAAGTGTTATCACTACGTTCATTGACACAAACAGAAAAAAAAAACGTTAGCTGCGAAAATTTTGCTAACTCAACTAAAGATTCGGTTAGTAGATCAAAACTTGCCTCTCACACAAAATGAGTTTCGTAACTTATCACACTTGAACTCTTCACGACATTAATGAGCACGTATTCATTAATGCCATTTATTTTCTCATTAATAGCTCAATTGTGAAATTTCTTTGAGGTTAAATAAGTTCATTCACGCATATCGTAACAAGGACAAACCCATTTATCAACGTCCTGAAATGGGCATTAAATTGACATTCAAGTTACACCACCAAACATTGAAACGCCACGTGACAATATCATGAAAACTTTTTACACCTCATCTTCAAATAAATCAGGATTTTCGATCTCGAAAAAATATAAAATCAATTCGTTCAAATGAAAACTCTTGAAATTTGAGTATTGGCAAAGTTACCCCTACCCCGTAAATTGGGCAGAAAGTTTAAACATTACTACTTATTTCTACTAGGTTATCAAGTATAAACTAGGCCGAAATCCATCATAATGATCGTGGCGGATCCGGTAGGAAAAAACAATACGGTGAAAAGAATATTAACGTTTTTGATAACTCATACCTAAATTATTGTATAATAAATGTCATACCTAAATATTGTCATACCTAAATAATACCATATATTCAAGGAATAAAACTGTCATATGCATTCAAAAATTAGTGCCCACAAAAATAGTAATTTAATCTCGCCACTCACAATCGGAAGTTTCTGTGTCGTCTCATTGTACACTTTAAAAGCAGCAGTGCTATCTCTCGAGTCTGATTCTGCAAACAAAGGAGCCCATTCTAACACGTCCACTTTGAAGGAGTCTTGGCGCTGGGATCTCCAGGAGAACACTTGTCGCGACACTTCGTATTGCAAGTCGATCGGGGCTTCGGGCGCCTCTGAAATCATAAAACAATTCTACTTCTCTTCTTTAAATGAAGACGTTTTCAATTTTGACTCGTACCAATGCAAAAAAACACTATACAAGGAAGTAGATCTGAAAGTTTATGATGGCAGAAAAATAAACATTATCTCGAGCCCTAAATGTACGAGATTATGCTTGAACATTTATTCTTGGCCATAGACTCAAAATATTGGGAGTAAAAAAGAGACCATTGCCTAGTAAACTAACATCAACAAGACAACACCTACGCATAAGAAGATAATTTTCGAGAGTCAGCACTGACAAATTTCCTAATCAATCCAATCTCCAACGTCATATTACTCACTCGAATAGGGACATCCAACTACTTTCATCAGTTTTCCTAATAATTTGCTTAATAGACAAACCTCCAGTGATCAATCTGATCTCATGTGTCAAATTATCCAGTCTGCCCAGTCCAGCCATACACCTCACATGGTAGGCGTCAATCCTCGGAGGCACAAATAGCATCACACTTTCCTTGTAACCATCTCTGTCTCTCGAATCTGTCACTCTGATGTTGTTTGAGAGTGTTGGCATCATCTGGCGTTCGTCCAGGAACCACGTGAACACTATGTCCATCGTTTGTGCATTGTTCATTTGCTGCAAAAAATATGAAATTTTCAAAAAACAAGAAAAACCCAAAAACTCTTTGTTTGCCTAATAATTATTATATCTTTACTCCTCACAAAGAAAGGAACCTTTTTGAAACAAGTTTCTCCAATACATGGGCATACTTTCAAAGACAATCAAGTGTTTCATATTAAATTTTCCAAATGAAAAACATGAAAAAACTGAATCCTGTTTTCCTGCAAAAAAAAAACTAAATCTACTCCTTGTCGCACTCAAACATGCTAAAAACAACAATTACCGGGCCAAATAACCTTGATTATTCGGATTCACTTTCCATTGTACAAATTTTTCACTATTACAAGCTTAAAAATATTGATTAACGCGGTCTATTTGGAATTATGGAGCTATTGTTTTTACTCATGCTAAAAAATTGAATTATTAAACACTAGCAAAGAAATTTTCGACGCTGTTTAAGACTTAAAGTTAAAGTTTTTTCTATGAACAGAAAACTTTGATTTTAAACGCGATGCTAGCCCACGCCAATTCAATAACTTTAGGACTAACTAGTTGATCGTGAGATTATTGCAATTCTTAACTTGTGCAATATCATTATACCAAGACGGGCTCAACTCCATCATATTCTTTTGAAAGAAAATCATTTTCAACACAGGTTAAGATATAAATAATACAACTTTGAACCCGTAGGGAAAATATGGCGACACATTAGAGACATGTAGCATAGTGGTACACCGTTCAAATTGAAAACTTCGAAAGCTCTCATTTGATCTCTGCCTTCAGGTGTAACGCAGTCTGACCAATTTCGGCTGCAATAGTGGTGGCACGTGAAAACGGCCTTGAGTTGCGAAAACTTCGCTAAACATATAACTCAAATCTGGAAATAATACAAATGGACTATACTTAGACAGGCCTGAATGCCCACTAGTGGCTCTTCGGCGATTCGCAGTAACTCTTAATAACTATTAGCTTACCTCAATTCAATTTCGAATGATCATTTCAGCGCTCTGAAATTGTATTGACTCGGGAGCTCAAATACGCTTACGCGTTGCGGGTCATAGTTAAGTGCATAAAATTAAGCATTATTTAGTCCTATAAATGGACTAATTATCAGCTTTCAAACTTCCGAAACTTCATGAAATGCAACCGCAGTTTAACTTTCGGTATTTGAGCTCAGGTGATCGATATTCTCCATACTCCTCGAAAAAAATATATTTTTTCGATTTTCGATTACCTTGCGAGGGAAATTGCCATAAAACGTTCGACTTGCGTTGGAAACAAGTGGACTGTCCTTACAACTCACAAACTCGGTTATGAAATGACGATGATTTAAAAAAAACACCACAATTCACCGACATCAAAATGCGCGAGGTCCTCTAAAAAGTGAGTCGTCACATTACACTGCGCTTCGCTAATGTAAAAGAATGTAAATTCATGCTGATGGGAAGGAAACATCTATCAGCTTGCAACTTACCTCTCGTTTTCCTTTTTGCTTGAAACCAGCATGTTTTTTCATTACTTCGACAAAAGTATGGTTAAAAAATTGAAAAAAAAAAACAATAATAATAATCTTGATAAAAATCTTCTTTTCCTCTCCAGGATAACCAACTCGATGAGCAGTACTGCTCTTTAGGATTTTCCTCCAGGCGTATAATTTAGCTTTTACTTTATGCATGTAGCTGGTAAATCATTCAAATTCAAATTCATCCTTTACAAAACAATCATTTTAAATTCAGTCTTTTTTCCAAGTAAACTTACCAAATTTCATGAAAATTGCATTTGGCTCTTTCTTACAAGCAACGTATTCCAGAAACTTGAATCTAGACCAAGATAACTATGTCGCGTCTTAATCTGCCCCAGTTGAATACTTTGGGCACGTACTTCGTGCTTCGGGTATTAATAACGTTTATTTATCTTCTTCTACTGTTTTAGTTTCGACTTCAATTCAAACCTACTTATTCAAACAACCGTCAAAATCCTAACTGCTGATACTAGATAGACCCCGCCCATGTTATGGACCCTATTTAAGCAACCGTGATCAGATTTTCAGACTGATTCATACTGAATTAGTGACTCATTGTACAGCAGATAAGTTTCAGTGGAAAATAAGAATGCGGGCATTCAGTTGTAACAAGACTGCTCGTTTCAGGGCAACGCCCTGAATATTCCGAATGTCCATAAACTGGTCTCGAATAGTTTTTGGTTAATGAAATATTGACAAACTATTAATTTTATGCTGAATATTAAGAACCGTGTATGTGAATTAAAAAGACCAATTAGCCTGCCTCAATTGAATTTGGAACGCTTTTGGGGTGCGGGATAATTCGCCACGCGTAAATAATGCGCGTTAAATTTTCCGCATCAAAGTATCACAGCGCTCTTATAGTCACGTTAGTCTATTATTGCGCGTTTCACAGCTATCTTTGAGCCAGAATAACCTAGTGGTAGGCGCACCCCTTCTAGGACCATGAAGATCCCTGGATCAATCCACCGAAGAAAATTTTTCTGAGAATTGGTCTGAATAAAAAACAGCCAACAGACAGTCGGAAAAGAGAAATCAACGCAAGTAAGCAGAAAAAAAACTGACTTTGTTGAAAAAATTCAACTTTCGAATTTCTAGAACAATTTATCATTGGCGCTTTTTTGATAACATTAACTTAACTTGAAATACTAGATCAATAGGTACAGTTTTTATTCCGCTGCAAATTTAAAAATGAAATTCCATTTTCGGAACTGGAAATTGTTCACGTTTTTTGCGGCATTTCGACGTTCGTATTTGGAGAATGCTATTTACGTAGCTTTCAGCAGATGAATTTCATTTGAAATCAAAAAGTGCATATATACCTAAAAAAATTCATAAATGCATTAATATTAATGAATACATATCTGTAGTTATTAGAGCATTTTAAGACTTTTTACTGAAATAAAAAACGTTGAGTAGAATTAAGGCAAACATCGCCAAAATACTAAACTGTATAGTCACGTTTTGGCTGTGACACTAAAAGTGTAAAATAATATTTTTCAACTTTCGAAAAAAAGAAATCAAGTTAAAGCTCTTTGAACTTCAAATACTGCTTATGACCATCACTTTCTTGCAAAATTATCCCATATAGAGAAAACTGGATCAATAAATTAAACTTTTAATCCGCTGGGAAATCTGAAAATTAAAATTCACTTTCGATACTAAAAGTCGTTCACGTTTTTCGTGACATTTACACTTTTGATGTTCGATAGTGGAGTTTGCTTTCCTTTTAACAAAAGCAATGAACTGAACTTAGAAAAAAATTTAGGTCAAATCAAATTTGAGCAAGTTTTAAGACTTTTTCCTGAAAAAAAAATAATCTAGACCTAGTTAAGTGAAAATTACTTCGTTCTTTTCCACTCAAAATTAACCATCTTTAGGACAATTGCCTGTGATAAGTTCGTCCAGGGTTCGGAAAAAATAATGACACAACCTATGGCACATATTAACACCACTGTCACACTGTCAGTCTATTTCTTTTCAATTGCATAAGCATTCAAATTTCAAGAAAACTATTATATAGAGATTTGCAAAAAGTTCGGACAGGCAGAATAAGAGCAATTGTGACAGAGCTTTGCAATTGTGACAGAACTTTTTTGTAGACAACCTTGAGACACATATTCGGTCTGAAAAAAACTACCAAAATAGGTCAGTACTCTTTTATTTAACTTTGTCTGCCAAACCTTTTGCTACTAATTACAAACTTCTACATAGGATAACAAAAAACAGAATGACCATTTGCTATCGGTATCATCTTACTTTTGCAGCGCATGTGACATTGACAGGTTTGTTGACCACTGAGAAGACTTCTGTGCTTAGATGGGGTCTCATCACTAGAGGCTGATGTGCTGTTAGAGTGTAGAGATGTGTGAGAGGGATTCCCTCACTGAGACTGTTTTGTGCTTCCACTTTGAACACTGCAGATCCTGTCACTTTCCTAGAAAAAGTAACATGAGTAGCCAATTGTTCAAAGATTGCCAAGGAGTGCTAAGAATTTTGAATGGTTAACTATAAAAAAATTCAAATAAATCAAGCAAAAAATTTATATCGTGCACTTACTTGAAAAATTATACAATAAATTTGTTTTTACGATTTTAAATCTTTCAAATTATACTCCGTTAGCAAACTAAGTTGTATTCCTAGCATTGAATAGGTCATAGGTTGAAATCAACACCAGGAAGCTCCCAGTACAAGCAAGATGAAAAAATTACAAATTAATTTTACTTGACAAAAATCGTACTTTATAATGAGTGAGAAATAGAGATCGTTCGACTTTCTCATCTCATATTCATCCCCCTGATAGACTCTCTGTCCATTTTTGTACCACTTCACAGTCGGCACTGGGGATCCGAAGATGGTGAATTTGATCTCGAAGTCCCTAGTTCCCACTAGTACACTGCAACCGTCTTCTGGGTCTATGATTTCAGGCACTCGGGCTGAAAGGGCACATTAACGAGTTAGGTTAAAAAATAGCTGCATCAAAAAATTAAATAAAAAAGCTGCTGCATGAAAAATTTATTCTCGTTGCTATTCTCGAAATTTTTTGTTTTCTTGAAAAGGGAACCTATGGATTATCAGTCTCATGATACTTGCAACCTTGACAAAAGCAGAACTAATTACAATATAAAGTACTATTTATTGAACAAAACCTTTCACATTTGTGCTAGCCACTAATAAATTGTCCCTGGCAGATTCTGAAATTTGCTGTTACAACTTGCAATCGAATACACACAAAGTCTAGACATTGTAAATATCACCGACTGCTATTTTTACTCACACAATACAGATAGAATGATCTCTCTTCTGGCGTCAAATGGAAGCACTCGGAAGTCATTGAACAGCACCTCCCCCATCTGACTTTCTTGCGACAACCCTTGTTTCTCCAACACTTCATTCTTAGACATCTCTTCCGCCTGAAACAATCAATTAATGGATAATTGAGCGAGAATAGTTCATTAGAACCAAGCCCATTAGAACCATAAATGATGCAACTTTTTTCTCAGAAATACAAAATACGCATCTGCGCGCTAATTAACTTATCTTCAACCAAAAACTGCTTTATTTCTCAGAAATATAAAAAATTGCATCTATCCACGACTCTGCTACTTTTTTTTGCTTCGTGAAAATAGTCGGCATGTTTTTCAAATTGAATTATTTATCTCGAAAAGCGATAAAAGCAACTATTTCTTTTAATAGTCGCTTGAATCAAGAGAGAAAACAGCAGAAATTATTTATAACGCAACAGAATTTGCTCTATATAGCAGGAAAAATTTTAGGGCCTAATTAGAACCGGAACAACTTTAAGGTCCAACTACAGCTCGGAGAAGTTTCAATGAACAGCAAAAAGTCACATAATTTTTCCAAAACAACCAATTCTGGAATTCAGTGAAAATCGAAAACATAGCGAACAAACAGTCAGTCAGCAAGAATATATATCCTTTAATTTCTTTGAATTTCCAAAAAAAATTTATGATTGACTTTGTTTCGATGGAAACAAACCCAAATTGAGAAAACTGAAACAATAGGTTTCTTCTACTTTCGTGGTAAGACTAAAAACATCTACTTTTGAAACAACTAAGCCATTCACGTTTTTCTTCCCGCTATTTTTAACTTCGTTTTTGGAGAGCGTGATTGAGCGTAATTTCCCAAACAAAAAATTCAAAACTCAAATTGCAAAATTCAAATTTGAGCGAATACAGCTTTGACAAAAAAAAACGATTGAAAACAGCTTCATAATAGCAGCTTATAATATTAATTGATCCAGAAACGGAGATGAAGAAACTTTCCCACGTAAAAACAGGTACGAGGAAAAGTTTCATTTATGTTTTAATGATACATCTCAACCACAATTCGCACTGTGATGCACACTTCTCAGACAATTATGTCAAAATTTTCAAAAATTATTTCAAAAATATATGGCTTTACAGCTTTTTGAATTTCAAGAGCATCATATGATTGATACTTTTCTGATAAAACTAACTCAATTGAGAAACTGGATAAACAGGTAAAGTTTTTTCTCTGCTGGGAAATCTGAAAATTGAAACTAAAAGTCGGTCACCTTTTTCATGACCTTCACACTTTCGTAATTGGAGAGCGCATCTTACCTAACTTTTAGCAGATGAAAATGAATTGGACTCAAATAGTGCATAAAAAACCTGCTAGCAGTCATATATGCATAATCTGTATGAACGCACTTTGTAAAATCAGAACGCACTTCTACATTTAAAGATTTTTCCTGAAAAAAAAAACATCACGACCGATATACGAGTCTGAGCGCACAGCAACCTTCTGGCATATTAGATATTAATTCAACTGACCTTCACTTCAATGCGGAACACAGTTGAGTCATATTTGTCTAGTCTATTCCCCGTTATCTTCACTGTGTATTTATCGTCGTAGGATGGGCCCAAGATCTCAAAATCGAAATCGCGAATTCTCTTTTGTCCTAAAAATTTAAATTTTCTTCAGACCTTAATAAAACTAATTCATAATTTGAACAAAAATATTTGCACTGATGAGTAATACTGCAAACCGATAAGTAAAATCACCTTCATTTAAGCTTTACTTTTTTTCACTTTTTTCTTCATAAGCAAGTGAATGAAATAAGAAACAGAATACCAAGTGATGCAGTCATAGCAACAGTAACAGATGATACAACATATATCAATAAACTGGTTTCCGGCATATAAGACGACAGCTGTTAAGACGACAACCACTTTTAGTGTGACTGTAAGAAATTACAACACGCAAATTTTTTATTTGTATTGCTGAGAAACATACTTCGAACTGTTGAAATTACATCTTTTAACACTCATTTATAGTCTTAATGTCATGTCATCTTAATGTCTTGTCGTCTTATTTACCTAGCAACCGAGAAACTTAAGTTATAGCTGCAGTTCGCTTACCGATTCGGTAAAAGTACAGCCAAATGTTTTTCTATTTTTCAACTTCACTTAATTTTTTGTTTTGGCAAAAAATGTTTCTGCTCATTCAATTCATCATTTTCGACAGCCTTCTATATTTCATTTCCACTCAATCCAAGAACATTTATTGATTAATGACAACATAAATAGTGGAGTTAGATAAGAGAATGAAGAAAAGAACCAACCATCTTGTACTAAAATGAAACACATCAACATTTCACACTTGCAGACTAACAGGTGCTAAAAGTACTAAAATGGCTATAGACAAAGACAGCCGATGAAGATAAAAATTTTATATTTAGGTTTTGTTAATTCAAAATTTAGGTCCATGCAAGATCACAACTCAATTTATCGCAAATATTTAAAACCCCAAACACGTCAAATAATCATGCGAATTCCCAAAATTGAAATAAAATATAAGACAATCACGGAAACTTGAATGAGTGCAAAAAGAGTGCAAAAAAGAACAAACAGTTGAATGCTTGAACAAGGCAGGCCATCCGTAGAAAATTCCTCTTTAAACATTTTTATTAATATTTTTTGTGCAAAGCACCAGGTTTTAAAATTTTCAGGAATCTATGCATAATTGGCAACAATTTAAGTTTCAAGTATTCGGCTTGAATATTATTTTCAATTTCTCAATTCTTATTCTCAAAATTTGACTTGGAAACATGGGCTGATTTAGAGGGAACACACCCCCCTCCACCCTCCGGAATTCGACCACCTCACAAACCAAAGGCCCCTTTGACATTACTTTATATCATCAATTTTCGGCCGAGCAACCCTAAAATTTTCCTAAAGGCGCCAATATATACTAATTTTCAGTCAAAAATTTTCAAAAACAAGCACAAAAACGGCATTTTTGACCTGTTATTTTTTATTTTGCAAGCAGCGCAAAATTTTTTGTCAAAATAGATTCTTTATAGTGTTCTGGGAGCGCTCAGAAAATCAATTTGATCGACCTAAAAAAAGTCAACTAAATTGTCGAGAATTTTTTGAAAATCCGCCCCACCCCCTCGAGAAAATCCTACATCCGCCCCTGCTTGGAAACAAATGATCTCGGACAAGGCTAAAGCTATTAGAGGTTCCAGTTCTGAAATTGCACGCAATTTCTTTCGTTTTTTTACAATACCATTATGGCATTTAGATCTATTTTGAAAACATGTAATTACTGCAGTTCTCAATTTCCAGATAAATATTCGGTTCTTTTTTACATTTTCCGGTCGGCAATTGGATCTAATTTGAAAACAAGTTAATTGCTATAAGTTACCAACATTAAATGAATTTCTTTAATTATTCGCCCACTTAGAAAAAGGGGGAGTCCTTAGAGGGTACCAAGGGGAGATAATTAAAGAGAACCTATTCGACAATTCAACTTACTTTCCATTGTCCCATTAACAATGATGGTGGGTCTCTGTAAGATCATGAAGTCGGACGACACTTCGCATTCTATGAACACATTCTCTTCAGGGGAGCGGATGATAAGGTCATCATGTTTGCACTTTATTTTCGGGGGACCTGAAAGAAGATGCAAGATTGTACAGCTATTTCCGATAAATTTAACTCTGACAATCTCGAACATTATGCTGCTACACAACGAGCCCAAAATGTCCCTGCTAAATTAAGTTAACAAAGCATTTTTTTAAGATGCTTCACTTAACATAGCTTCGCGAGCTAGCCGACATAGAACAAGACGAAAACTACAGAGTCGTCAAAACACTTGATCTACTGAAAACTTTCCAGTTTTGTCTTGAACGAAATTAATTTTGAGAAAAACGCCGGGGAAAGACAATTAACAGGCAATTTCGAGGAAATACAATTTCCACGCACTCCCCTCCTCCCCCACAGCCCACACGAATTTTGCCTTTCAAACAAAGAATTAGGGGACTCGTCGATATAACATAAGTCGAAACTTTTCACGCTGAATAACGAAAAATCGAAACGAAATTTTCAAAAAGGGAGCGGTGGTGAATTGATTACATTTCCACCTCACAATCGAAAGGTCGGATGCTCGAGGCCCACCTTGATCCGTGCTCGTTGCTTGAGGGTGAGGCAATATTATGCAGCCCATCAAAAATAGCCAAAAATTGCATGTAATTCTTAACCAGGGGCACAAAAGCTATTCGCCTAAATTCTGCGATCAAAGTTTCTTCTGTAAAAAAGTCACGTGCCCGGTTGAAATACCTTTGCTAATCGCAATGGTACATAACTTTCCTAAACTCAACTGATCAACTTCATAACATATGCTTTGAGCTGGCCAAATTTTTTTTCTAATTTTTGCACAGTATTTAGATACACAGTAGACACACCAACTTGATTATCATTATTCTGTAAAAAGTTTCTAAATGACTTATACGACGCAACTTAATCATTAAACGATAGTTCGTTAAGGCGCCCGTAGCTCGGCCAGCTAGAGCGCGGTACTTAATGTCGGGAGGCTTTGTTGAAATGAATGAAATTCCCCCTCCCACACGGTTCGTCCTGCATTGATTATGACCAGGTGCTACATAAAAAATTGGCGCATTGAAAGACAGCACTTCATCCTACTATTTCGCATGCAAAAGCGGATTTTCGCCGTTAGAAACTGACCAACTTACCAATGACCTTGACTCGATAGTCAATCTCCGCCGACCCATAGTAACACGTGTATTGCCCAGCATCACTTTCCTGGGGATTATCAAAATAAATCGTGTAATCCGTCCTATATGTTTCTTCTCTATTCACTGAGCCCACTTCCATAAATGGTAACTCCAGGGTTCTTCCGTCTTTTCTTAAATGGACTGTTCTCTTTTCTTTTGGAATGCATGTGAAGAATGATGCTTGACCTCTTACGAAGAGGTAAATTTTTGCCATGTCTTGGAAGAATCCGTTGTTGTCGCCTAAAAGTAATCATCAAGTTAAAAAACATGCAGATAAAAAAAATTGTCCAAGTTTAGTTTGATTTTTTTTGACCAGAAGCAAAAGAAAACTAAAAACCAAAAAAAAATTAGGCATTCGGTTGAAATGCGGATGATTGATAACTGTTTTGAAAAATTATTCTCGGTGATATTATACAAACTTCGACTGTATTCTGAAACGTTTTTAGTTAAACCGTGTAAGACCCCAAATCTCTAGCGAACAAGATTTGATCCTTTTTTCTCTAAAAAAAAGGATCAAATCGTTTTTCTCTGATCTTTTTTTCTCTATAAAAACTTGGGTTTTTCTCGACAAAAAAATCAGCTATTCAAACAGTTTCGGCAATACTTGATACTGAAGCATAGTCATCATAACATACATTCACATCTATCAGACAATCAAAAACAGATAGAGAATAGATATACCACCTAATCTGTGCATTATCATAATGAAGACTCTAAAGCCAAGGCTAAGATAACTAAAATCGGTGTCCGAAGTAGAAACAGTGAAACTTCTGCAATAAACAAATGCTGCAGTTCAGATTAAAAAACCACAATGACACCACAACGTGATGATTTAAAACAATCTAGGCTTTACTTATTTTATGCAAAAGTTTTTTTGCAGGCTGAGAAAAATGTGCAATTTGAGCGGTTTTGGACACGATCACAGCTCTCTTGAGACTCTCTGCGTTGTATCTTTTTCCTTTACCCAAAAGTATTTTCATCCCGGTTGCCCTGTTCAATTTTTGCAGCATCCGTTTATCACTAAGTAGCCCAAAAAAGAAAGAAAACTCTGGATGATGAATCGTAGAACACTAGGAGAAGAAGAGGAAAAGGTATGGATACTCACGATAAGCTAAAATGTCAACTCAGTTGTGAAACAGTTAAACAGTGAGGACTCATATAATATACCAGAATATGATTAGCAGGAGTACATGAACATGTAAAGAAATCATGGATGTTAAAACAAAGAGCCTAAAATTACGGTTACATGACAAAAGAAACCTTACCTTAAGATCCCAAACGAGAAGATCCCAGTCTATAAGATACCATTCCAAAAGATACCTCGTTCTAAAATCGCCCACGACATAAGATACCATAATAAAATAACAAAGAACCTGAGAATTGAAAATAAAGCGGTAAATCGATCAAAGCAAAAACAAAGCGTCGGTTAAAATCAAAGAAACGGCAAAAATTTTGCTGCACAAATTTCGAACATAAATGACCTTGCTAATCACTTGGCCTTTAAAATGAAACTCAAACTTCAAAACAGCTTAGACTATAAATGAACTTGAAAAGGATTGCCAATTTATCAAAACCAACTTTGTTAAAAATGGCCTGATTTTCCAGACAATTCAAGTCGGTACAAAATTGAAATTAAGTTTTTGCAAAATTCTAAAGCTTTGAAATCATTTTCATTACGAATCACTTGCCATTCTATTTGATAAAAAATATCAATTCTCAAATTTGATCAACTTTTTTTCGCTAGGCGCAATACTCAAAGGGCCGTCAGGCCCCTACCCCCAACCTAGCCTCCCGTAAATAAGAGCAATTGCTCTGGGATCAAATTGCTAGAGACAGCATTTTCGAATGCGAGTCGTAGTATTGCGTTTCGGCGTTCTCCGGGAGGGTGCAAGGAGACGTCTATAAAAAAGTTGATCAAACAATTTTAAATTTAAGAAAAATTAGGCAAAAACTATAACAAAATTTAATAAGTTAAATGGGCAATTGAACGGATATAAGACAATAAGTTAGAGTCTGTGTATGAACTTGTTATCTGTTGAACTTTTTCATTCAGATCACGGTACTTCTTCCGGGATAAGTTGATAATGCCGCTGGATGCCTTCAAAATGTTGAACTTTTGATTGTAGGAATCCAGTTGAATTTTTTCGAGAAACGTATGTATTGAAGGATGGCTGCCTTGAAACAAAGCGGTTACACCTAGATGCCACCCTTCAACTGCATTTGTGGTTCGGGCTAGACCACACACAGCATTTTGATAATGGTTCCAAAGAAATAGGAAAAAGTGTTTTTCGGCCAATCAAATCCCCTCTAATGTACGTTTTTTGGAAATAAGCAGTGAGCTCGTCTAATTTTTCACTTATGACTCCTTATGATTTCCACTTTTGACTCCGGAACAAAACTAAGCGCAGGAATCATATTCAGCGCTAAAACTAGCTCGCTGTTTGATTCGTACGTCTTTTTAAGGCCCAATTCGGATATTTTTCGCATAAAGCTCTGACAGAGGTGAAAATAGCATCCCTTAATGTCAGTTTCGTAATGAGAGGTAAAAGCACTCAGAGCCGCAATTTCAAAGTCGATCAAAATTCTTTCCGGGGTTACGTCACCGATAAGCGATTTGAGTGCGGTTAGGAATTTGTTATAGGTTGATAAGCGCTTATTGCTAAGCAGAGCGTAGACGCAAGGTGGATAAAACCCGCCAATCTGGATGTGTACAGTGTACAGCTGGTAAAACTGACTGGGGCAAATTTTGAAAGTACCGTCTACAAGCCAGGTTTTGTTGTACAATTTAAGTGCATTGAGGTTCTCAATGTCGCCAAAAATTAATATGCGTTCCGTATCTTGTTTTCCGCTATCAAAAAGACAAAATTGCTTAAAACGATCAGGTATTTCGAAATGGCGGTCATCTGTGGCAATAGTGGGCAGGGATGTTGTTTGTTTACTTCTGTTTAAAGTTCGCGTTAGCGCCGACCGGGAGGGCAAAGACAGTTGGGTTGCTTTTTCGTCCTGCACCAATTGCAAACTAGCTGCGATTATCTGGCTGTTTACTGGATTTAATTGACTCCTAACTGTCTCCTTCATTTGTTGAACTAGTTGCCGAGCTTCTGAGCGTCCTGCGTTGAGCTCATGACTATGCTCGTTGCTCTGTGAGATTATATCGCTCCCAGAAGTGATTAAAGTTTTCGGGCATTTATACGATCTCCATTTGCTGCAGCGCCAGTGTGTCGTTGTCTTCGTATCGCGTTTCTTTTGAAATTCATGGCCATCAAGAATAATCAAAGTTTGGCCTTTTTGTGAGGTTCCCCAAGTAAAAGAATTCATTTTTGACTTATCAATGAGTTAAAGAGGGAGATAATGAATGCAGAGTGTATACATTTTCAATTAAGTTGTTCTAATTCAATGCCATATTAACACTAAATTAAACACATGTTGGCACTATGTTAATCCCAAAAATGAGTCCAGTTTAAATTAAGTTATCTTAAATTTGCATTGTTTTTCAATAGCGCGAACCTAATTGAGGTATCATTACTCTAGATTTATTTCTGCTTACACTTTGATCATGATTTTTGTTCATAATTCATGGGATCTTTTTAATTGGCATGGGATTTTATGGTATGGGCGATTTTTATACAAGGGATCTTTTGGTATGGTATCTTTTGTCATGGGAGCTTTTGGTATGGTATCTTTTGTCCTGACACCAAAATTACTCGATGTTTAGGTCGAGCACATCGAAAGTCGCTCGTTTAATACACAACTCCTAATTCACTTTGATTTGCCTTTACACAATTTATTTCATGAATGGAGATAAAATTTCCACCGTTCCGGAAGCATTGAATGGTTTCAATTTGACATTTTAATCAGAAAATTTCATTTTAAATATAATGGATTTCAGGAGTTGCATTTCTTAATTATGATGAGATATCAAATTGTTTTTTCATTATTCTTAAAATGCAATTGGTTTTTAAAATATTCATGGCATTGAGAAAAAAATTATAGAGGTAGAGTCACTGGAGATAAATGTTGCAACTGATAGTTTTCAAGCAAAGAAATGAACAAAATTTCATTCAGGTTTATGCCGCTTTCTCAGCAAATAAAACTCATGGTTGGAAACTTGACTCATTATAGATGAAACTGTCTTTTAGAAAAAAAGCCGGATAAAAAACTATGAATTTTTTTTAGGGCGTCGTTTGGGCATTTAATTACAGGGCGACAGAGAAGTGTTCTTACTGTCAAAAACTCCTTGTAAACAGCACAAGCAGTTTAAAACTTTGGACCTAAAAGTATTCGTTCGAAAGCTAAGGATCTCAGTTAAGACCTCATATTAGTTTTCCTTACTTAAAAAGGAATACAAAAAACTTCTCAGCTACGAAACAAAAATAATTACGAAACAAAAATATAGCGAATTTGTGCATTTTACTACATAAATTGCTGAAATTTCAATTAACTTGTGTCTAAGAGCCTAACAAAATTTTTAGTTCTTTTTTAGGTGAAATAAAAAAACTTACATGAGAGCCTAACTGAGATCCTTAGCTTTCAAACGAATACTTTCAAGTCCAAAGTTTCAAACTGCTTGTGCAGTTTACGGGGAATTTTTAGCACTAATAACACTTCCGTTATGCTCTAATTAAATGACTTATCCGGCTATTGCCTAAAGAAGAGTTCTTTTTATTTGCAGAGAAAACTGCACAAACGTGAAAAAATTTTCGTTGATTTTCTCGCTTGAAAACTAGAAGTTGCAACTTCTGTCTCGTACCTGTTCAACCAATTGCCCTTTAAAAATGAGCGACTTCCCAAACATTCAATCACACTTACGGAAATTAAGTCTGTTAAATTGAAAACATGATTTACAACTGACCGTCTGTGTTCTGGTTTTCTACTCTGAACTTAATTTCCTTATAAGGGAAGTCCAGATTAGTGCCGTATTCTCTAAACTGCTGCCTAATGTCACATGTGTCACTGGGTCTGGGCTCAATCACGTACATGTCGAAGTTAGACCCGATGACAAATCGACCGTCTTTGAAGGATTTGTCTTCTTTCTGAAATTGAAAAAAAAATTAAAAATGCAAGTGAAAACCTTTTGATTTAGACCTACTTTACGTAAGTCAAGACGATTTATCCACAAATAAAAGGACCAACATACGAGCTGTTCAGCTCATCACGGAGAACCGCTATTGAACCCCGCTTAAGAACTAAACGCAATTATTTTGGGCGGTACCAGCAAGAATCACCTCACCCATCATCATCCATTTACAATGAATTAATATCTCAGAAAAAAAACGTTGTAGTGCTGTTGATTAATACAACTAGAAAAAAATTACACCAGTTGTTTTTCATAGAAGCTTACCAGTTAATCAACTCACCAGGTTTTTTAAATAGCCTACCTAATTCTATGGCGATTGAGGTATACGGTCAAAAACGCAATTTCGTAGTCAATGACTCAAAAAGCAGCAAAAAAATAACTAGATATATCAAAAATCTTCATCTCATGGATATTATTTTTCAGGAAACCATGTCCAGAAAAACTTCCTGCGTTAAATAAGCAATACAACAAAATTTTACACAAATAATTGAGACTGAGACGAAGATCATAAGCCAGGAAACTGAAACATACATGGTCCGACCGAGACTCGACAAGATCCGGCCAAGACTCAAAACTTTGATCTCAAGATCCGAAGTTGCACGATTTACCAAGTGAGAAGGGTTTTGAAAGCAATAGAGCTTTCACACAGAGGCGAAGCTGCGAACACATGCAAAATCATCAAACTGAGCTTTCAAACAGCAAGGAAATGGAACTAAAAAAGTAAATAGGATTGTTGGTTGCTGTGCAAGTACCGCAGAATGTTCCGACCATATTCTTATTCTTTAAAAAAAAGTTTTTATTTATCAAACTGTTTTATTTTTTGTGTTTGCTTTGACGAGAGAAACTAAACAAAAGCCTTGAAGTTCGACAGAAAGGCGAGGCGTAGCTGCGCAACACTTGCGATACAACTAAAACATTGTATCACAAGATATAGAATAAAAAAGGCAGACGATTTTTCTTTAAAAAATTAAGCTTAAATTACTAGAAACTACAAGAATTTTCCACCTCTGTCTCGGATGATATTCATAAACAGCGTTAACAAGCATTTAAAATCAATGGTGGAGCGGAAACTACGTCGACAAAAGTTGGTTCGACCCTGGTTAGAATATTCATAAGAAAAACGAAATGAGCCATAAGGAATATTCAAGCTTACAAAAAAAGTAAAACACTAAATGAGCAATCCCTCCTGAAACTCGCACTTGAATCTATGCTAATTTAGTCCACTAAGCCGATATCAAGAAGGCCGGACCCGTTTAATTAAAAAAAATCAAATTACTCAAAATCAGTGTTGGTTAATTTACGAACTACAAAACAACTTTCAATTAGAGTCAAAACTGTTTGAATCAAAAGGAATAAACCTAAGCTTTAGAAAGAAACCGTTTAAAAAGAGTACCAAATGATCAAAACTAAAAAAAAAACGGAAATTCGGCCGACAGACATAAGCACCAAAGTCACAAACCAAAAAAAAAAAACATTTTTCCACTGAATAAATTTGAAATTAATTACTACATAAATTGAACTTGAAAATTAATGAGATAATCTTATTTGAATTCCGAGAAATTGAGCATGTCAGCCTGCACATGCGAAAGCAACTGCAGTAAAGCACGCATGTCTTGAATTTGTCAGAAAAGTTGTTTACGGGAAAAAAGTCTAGTTCCCGATTACAAGTGATATAATTAAAATATATAAATAAATGAGGTATATTTGACAACAAAATGAAAAAAAAAAATTAAAAATTTGCACACATGTTTTTGTTTGTTCCCAAAAAGGCACTACAAGAAATTTCTATTTCTTTGGGTAAAACTAAGTAATAGTTAATTTTTTTAAGTTATATTTAAGACAATTACAAGCCCGCTCGCTCGCTTTTTTTTTGCTCAAAACTAGACAAAAAATTGAATATTTCAAAAAATTGAAAATCAGGTACCACATTTGTGGGACCTGATTTTGCATAGAAAGCAAAAAATACACCCGAATAGAAAGTTTCTCCCCATTTTCAGCGCACGGAAAAAACTGGAAAATGGAAAAACGAAAAAAAATTACCACCTACATGAATCGAACCTTAATCATCGACTACCTACTGCGTTGCGGTCTCTTGCCTTAGAATTCGAGCTACATATTCGTTCTATCGTTCAATTACCAGCTCCACGGACACAAAAATTGACATTTTGAAAATGACACTAATTTTTGCGACTTGAGTTAGGAAAAAAACGTTTTGTTTCTGTAATAATAGAGCAATCAAAATTTCTAACAGATTTCAAAGAAAGAAAAACTTATTGTTCCCAATTACAAGGCACTTGCTCTGCAAGGTAAATAATCTCGCATGAAGCATGAAAGATCAGAACTAAAAATACATCAAATCATGAAGCTATTTATGTGGTGTAGAAAAAAAATAGAAATCAGAGGCATTAAAATTGACAATTTGACTGTAAGGATATTATTAGTAACAAATAAGACAATTAACCGCAGGTAAATAACATGGACTTAATATCAACCCTTCGATCGAGCTTGCTAATCCTTTTTAATAAACCCGGCGGCGACAGGACCCTGTTGCGCAAAACAACCGAAGCTCGAACATTTCAAAATACCCAAATAAATATTTCTTCTAGATTTATAAAAATGCGCTAGACAGGACGAGCTTTGAATTAAAATTTTGTTTAATTTGATAAAAACTTGGGAGCAAATATCTTGTAGCAACAAATGAAATTTCTTTTATCTGTAGTTTTCTATCTTTTCAATATCCTTCCTAAAGTTTACAGCCCCACCTAACAAAAACGCATTTTTTCCATTAAAAAAAGGTTTTCTCCAAGCTTCCTAGAAAAAATATCCCCAAAAGCACGTCAATGGGGGATACTATAAATCTCAGTGTTTTTTTGGGTAGAATAATTTTAAAATACAAGTATGGGGCTTATTTAACAGGGTCTTTAGTGACAGGAAAAATATAATTCAACCCACCATAAGTATCCTAGCTCCTGTTCTTGTGTCTGGTTGGGAGATTGCAAACTGGATCTGAACAGGGGAGTCGGTCTCCAGCAGAGGGGGAAACCCGAACTCCAGCCTCGTACTCTCCCCGAACCTCACTCGCTTCTCAATTGGAACTTCTTCCTGGTTGCGTTCCCCTTAAAAAAAAGAATTCAGTTTTGTTATCAAACTACGGTTTAAACAGATCAAAGTTAGGGCGTTCTGGCTATAATGGGGACGATAAAGAATGTAATTCTCTGTTTATCAATCGAAAGATCGTAAGTTCGAGTCCCATAAAGAACCTTTCTTGTTGCTTAAGGGCGAAGCAACATTACCCAGCCCAGAAAAATACACAAAAATATGCATGCATGTATTTATCAGAGGCACAACAGGGTTTATTCGTAAAGAGCAGAACACCTCCTATGTTGGTCCTTTCCCTAGTGGATAAATCGTCTTCACAAACTCTAATATCCTCATTTCATATCAGAGCAGGAGCGGATCTATGATTTTCTCGAGGTTGGCGGATAATCAGAGACCTTGGTAAGAAAAGTAAACTTTTCCCGAAAAACAATGAAATATTCTTAGATTTGTGTCTTTCGAGATAATTAGGACCACAAAACAACAACTTTTCGTGCAAATGCGAGCCTTATTCCTAAGTAAGATAGAAATCCCCTTTCGATAAAAAAAATAACTTAACTAAGATTCCATTGCTAAAATTTGGTTTGAAACTTCCAAAAAAATAACTCACTTGTAGTTAGCACCTCAATTTTGCTACTTGTCGATTCTCCATAGTCATTTCTAGCCCAACACCAGTAATAACCCATTAAATCCTGCCATTTTAGCCAGTTCGAATCCAGGGTCAACTTCGGCCCACTCAACTCGTATGAACCTTCATTTGCATTTCTCAATTCTTTTCGATCCAGTCCGTCCTTCGTCTTCGAAAAGAACCATTTGAATTGAACTGTAGGGATATTCTGCATGTTAAGTGTGCAGTTTAAATTGAATTCTGGACCGGACATCTGGAAGGCTTTGAGTTTCGGCAGGTCCACTATTGAGGGGGCAAAGGGCAGGATTGTTTCTGCTGTTGTTTTTGTTGTGATAGTAATAGCAGCTAATGCTGCTATGGCTATTAGTAAGATCATAATTCTGAAAAAAGGCAAATTTTTAGCTCGCGGTGTTGGAAAATGAAGATTAATTAGTTGCCATAAATTCGGAAAGCAAGAGTTGAAAACGCTTCTCAAAAACTCGAAAGACAAAAAGTCAACTTTTTGTAATAATGCAAAGCTAACTAAAAATTTAAAAATTATGAACATTTCTTGAAAAAAATCAGTATGTGATGGACAGTGATAAAGCAATTGTCAAAACGAGTTCAAACTCGAGCAAGAAATTTGACTCGGCGAAAGTTTTGATTTTCTTTTTCGATCCGATCAAAGACAGTAAACAAAAGTTGCACATTGACTTTATGGTACAAAATATTGGAAAATTTTCTCGTATATGAAGCTGAAATTTTAACCCATTTGTCTCAACTTGTGTTTTTAAATAGTTTTTCAACTGTTGACAAATGGCGCTTCAAAAGAATCTTCGGCTTTCAAGTGTAACGCCCCCGCTTTTTGTTAACCTTTAAGTTTTTTGACACATTGCATCATTGAAGAACATCAGAAAAAATTGAATCTAAGATCAGTAAAAAACAGAAAGACCCAATAAAGCCGCTTCTGGCAAACAGTTTTATGACGGATATCTTATAACGCAATTCTCAATCAATCACAAAACTATAAAGACACGGAAAACTAAATATCGAAAAAGTTATCTGGTATAAAATATATATTTTTACCCCATTAATCGATCTCTAAACAAGCCGTCTATGAAAAACGATTACACGAAAATAATATGCCATTAAACTCGTCTAATTAACTCATCAATCCTCCGATAGAAATTCATGAAATCTGCTAGAGGAACTATAAAATTCTATTTTATTTTGAAACGTTGAGGGGCGGATAAACTCCTTTTCCATTTTTTTTGAAATTTTGAGACGATTATAAAATGATACAGAGAGAAAAAAACTTAGACTATAGATGTTGCACAGTCATACATGTTGACCATTCAGCGTCGTACGTAAAAAGGGGAAGACGTACTGCGTTTTAAAAATAGTTTTAAACTGCAGACACTCGGTAATCTTGTACATCCTTTTTCCCAGTCACTTCATGTGAAAACCATTGACTAGCTAATTTACCAAAATAAATCCGGGCCCTAGCAAACTATTTTCGCAAGAAAAAAATCGATTTTTTCAGTTTTTCAGACAGAGGGCATTAAAGAATGAAAAGACTAAAATATCCCAATCCTTTTTTGTCAATCCTGACAAGCGAACCTCTTTCTTAATCTAATTTACAGGACAAAACCGGATCCTGACATTATGCTTCTACAAAACTGAATCAGAAATATATTGAGCTCGAATAAGTATAGAAAAAATCGATTCTGATATTTCCTTTTTCGCAGACAAGAACTAATCGCTTGTTAATTTGCTGTCCAAATTTCGGATACTGTCATAGTGCTACTGCAAGAAGAAAAAACGGAACTTTAAAACAGCCGTTTACTTAAAAAGACACAAAAAAACGAAAATATAATGAATCTTTCTCAACCATAAATTGCTAATCGTCAAACTAACTCATTATTTATCTAATTCAGCGAATAACAGCCGGTTGCTGGCATACTGCCTTCACATAACGGAAACAGCCTGTCAGTACAAAATGTAATATTTTCCCAATTACACTTGCAAAAACATTTCCAACTCCCCGCTTTCTAAAGAGTACCAAACGAAGTAATTACCACTCTGAATTTTTCGTCAGGGGTGCCCAAATGAAATGTTTCCTCTCAAAACACGGAAATCCTATTTGGCTGCAACTTTAGTTTATTTTGGAAAATAAACAGCAGAGCAGAAGCCACATTTACTGCTGCCAGAATCGTTCTTAGAGCAGAAAAGAGTAAAATATCGAGAAAATAAGTATTTTTCATTGACTAACATTCGGCAAAAAATCCAGTTTTTAAAATTAAATTATAATTAATAAATATTAAATACTAAATTAAATTACATAAAATTACCTATTTGACGTTTCTGCAGTCAGTATGCTGACAAACCTTAATTTCGTAAAAACTTCTGCTCTTGGACCTAATCTACTTAGAGCATGGCATCATATTTTGCTTTGAAGGTTCATTAAAATGCCAAAATATTCGATATTGTTTCTGTTTTTGGCACACTCGAACGTAAATATAGATCCACTTAGCGCAACACTTAAAACACCAAATCAGCTGAAAAAAAGACTCCCAAAACTCATAAAAATGGTTACATTACCATACTTAAGTCCTACCATAGGTTGCATGAAATGTGCAGAAAAGTGTATTTTTAGAATGTAGGTTAGAAAAACACGGTTCTCTAAAGCAGACATATTACTAATAGGTCAAATATAAAACAGTAAACATTGGACGGCGCCAATAATTAGGTCAGTAATCGCTAGTGAATGTGAGTAGAAGTATGTCTATTTACACGAAAAGTCTACACATCCTATAAAATAAATGCTGAATGAGTGTCGAACATGAAATCTACTAAAGAGTTTCAGACATTGAATGAAGGATTTAAAAAAAACGATTCTATCTTGTAAGCTTGCGGACCCCAAAATTTCATACCTTACTTTACTTGTAGCGTTGTGGGGCAACGGTAGTGATGTTTCCCAGCAATCATGATTGCGGCTTCAAATCGCACGTGCGATACAATTTAAAAGATGAGCTTTTGTAAGACATCAATTGTTAACCATAAAAAATAACCACTGGGTTAGGCCTCTGGATGGTATAAAAAATTTCAAATATCTGATCGAATTCTAATTTAAAAAAAAAGATTTTCTGACCATTGGTCCCTGAGACCCGATAATATACTTATCTACATCATGCCACTACTATTCGAGCAGCCGAAATGAACAAACAGACCGAGCGGCGTTGAAGTTGCTATTTTGACATCTCTCAACCAGAAGCTCAGCGGTTTGAGGCTGACTGTAAGCCTTACTGGTTAATTTCAGGAACAAAATTTCCCGGCCTAAAATAAATGAATGTCAATCTGATGCGAAACAATGGCGCGCAGTAAAAAGCCAATTAGGTCACACTTTGTTCGTTATTGTGTAAATAAATAGTACAAGCTTTTGCCTAAATTGGTCAAATAGGGCATGAAAAATATACGCAGCCATCCTATTCTGTAACTTAGGTTTATACATTAGCTTAAGTAAACTCGAAGAGAAAAACAAGGAATTCAGCAACATAGGTAAACCAAAGCGGACAAGAACTCAAATTAACCTTAATCTGCTAAACAATTTCGCCTTGAAGAATCCTCGCTGCAAATTAACACAGCAAACATCCAGATTGTTTTTGAAGCTGTTTGAAACAAATAATTCCATTGAAGTGTTTGCAGAAATTTTACTCTGAATTGTGAAACTCGCACCAAGTTGGTGGGCCACTAATAATTGCTGCTAAATGAAATTTAAATTGTGAACCCTAATCCACTGCGCGGTTTTCCATATTGACAGAGAAATCAGATCAAAGAAAGACTAATATCGATACGTTAAGAATTCAAGGCGACAGAAAAATCTAACAGACTGGTCTCGAATATAAAACGTCAGATTTTAATGATAAGTGAAATTCAAATAAGAAAAGAATTTAAAACTTGATCTTTTGTTCAGATCTTACGCAAAACACATTTCATTCCTATCAGGGCGAAATTAGTGCGAGGAAAAACCGTCCCCAAATTTTCAACACAGAGTCGAAGCGGAGCTTCGCAACACTTGCGATACAGCACAAACATAGCATTGTAAGCCAGCAAACAGAAAGTGAGGTGGTAGTCATTAAGTCCAAACTTTTTATAATCCCTTGAATAAAAAAAAAGGGAATTATAGTAAGGTCCAAAAAATCATATTCAATTTAACTTAACATGAAACAAACGTACCCGTCAGCTTAGCAGCACGGAATGTTCCGATTATTGTCACATTTGGCAGTAGGGTCCAATCAGCTAAAATATAAAATTACAAGAGGCGAAGCTGTAATTCGCAAACAAGCTAGAAAACGGCAAAATGTAGATCCAAGTTTTAAAAACTAAAAAAAAGCAAGCGATCAGCTGGAATCAAGCCACTGACCTGAAGATAACGAGTCCAACGTCTTCACATCTCCACCATGTGAGGTTTAATAACGAAAACACTAGCCACCAATAACGCGTACCGAAAACGTGCTACTAATTTAGCAGAAGTGAACAACACCAGAATGAACACTACTTTATGAGGGTTGGGTTTAAAAAAGTGGGAACATTTTACTACGCTCCCTAGGGTAAATAAAAAGAAACAATCAAATATATTGGGAGATGATGAATGCTCGCAGTACAAAAATCAGTCTCAAGAGCAATACATTCAGACCAAAGATGGTCGAAAACCAGACGCACTTCCAAAATTCTTCCTGGGATATATCACGATTGAATACGCTTTTCAATAATGATGATGCCCTATGACCTTTCTTTAGGGCTCCTTTCTGCTGCCAACTTTTCAGCAGAGAGACGAAGCGTCAATTAGCAGTTGAAAGCGAAAAAAAAACAGAAAACAACAACCCAAGACTAAATTAGCCTTAATGAAAAAACTGTTAAATCAGAGACTGTCGTAGACAACAAGGTTCCGACTTGATTTCAATTCGAATGAAAGACAGAAACAAAAAGAACAGTTTGCCTAGATAGACGCAAATTTTCGAAATATCATTTTTGGAATCAGCAAAAAAAGTTGGAAAAGAGTCATGAACGTCAAGAAACAGAAAAAAACTGACTTGAAAAAATGACAGCTCTTCGAAAATTAACAAAAAAATGATGGCAATAGAGCTCTTTGAACTGCTAACACCTTTTCTGATTGACTCTTGTTTGATAAAATTTGAAAAAACTGGATCGATACTTTCGAAACTAAAAGTTGATCATGTTTTTAGTGATCTTTACACGTTTGCTGTTCGATAATGGAGTTTGCCTTTGTTTTAGCAAAGGAAATGAACTTTACTTGAAAAAAAAATCAGTCAAACCGCTAAAAAAAAATTTATCGTGAACAAATTTTAAGACTTTCATGGAAAAAAAACAACAAACCAA